ACCGGGTAGAACATATTGTAATATATACTACATGCCAAAAGTATGAAAGAAATTAGTTTTTTACATATCATGGGAAAACAAGTTTTCCTCAGTTTATTTGACATAACAGTTCAGAGTTTCAACCATTTACTCCTCATTCTATACACTCCATGTGTGAAACAAAGGCTGTTAAATTGATGTCTACATTACTTCCCAGACTCAGGGTTTACCAGCAGAACATCGCACAGAGCATCACACTCCCTCCACAAGCTTGTCTTCTTCCCACAGTGCATCCTGATGTCATCACTTCCCCAGGTAAACAGCACACACATACTAAGCCGTTCATGTGATGAAAAAAAAATGGATTTATCAGACCAGGCAACGTTTCTCCATTGCATAGTCATGTTATGATGCTTGCGTGTCCGTTGTGGTTGCTTTTGATGGCGGACAGGGGTTAGCATGGGCACTCTGACTGATCTGCAGCTACACAGCTCCATACGCAACAGGGTGCGATGCCCATTTTTCCTGCATCCAACACGTTGATTACGAAAGCTGACTGTTATATATCCCAGACCTTGACATGGCATGTGCTGTTTTTACGAGAAAATCAACTTTATTGGCCATAATGTTTTGGATGTATATCATCGCTGTACATCAGCCTGCAGTAGTTTTAGCTCCACCCATTCACACTGAAGGCATGAGGAGTGTTTTAGCCCAGACTGAAGCACAATACAGGGCAGCCAAACAGAACTCATTTACATATATCATTCTTAAAGGCACAGTAACAGAAACAGCCTTTTCAATTCTAAAGAATTAAGAGAGATGGGAAAATGGTCATGCAAACACAAAATATATGGCTGCTTTTGCTACATAAACCCATACAAATGTCATAAATGGACTTTGGGAGAAAAGAGAAAAATGTAGGATATGGTTGCTTTAAGTTAGTTTGTCAACATCCAACATGTTTTTTGACATCTAGTTTAACTGAAAAGGTTTTTTCATTATTTTGCCATGATATATATGAGACATATATGAGAAAAGCCTTGTGCCACTGTTCAATTTTAACAAATCTGATTCAGTTCATCAAAAACAAAAATCTGATTTTCACTTGTTTATAGTGTTGCTTCCAAACTTCTGCTTGTTATTCAGTATATCATCATTTGTTTGGAAGAAATCAAGAAAAGAGTAACTGTAATTGGTCAGCTTGCAGTTGTGCTATAATAACAGAGGGGCAGAAGTAAATGAATTAGACGTCTGCCATCCCTGCCACCGCGGGTTAAGTTTTTCAGAGCGTCTCAAAGGCTTGGCTTCATCTGGCTGTTTGGGCTAAAACATTAGACATGAAAGGCTGCTGACCCACAATCCTGTGTGCAACGGCTTGTGAAAAGCTAAATGGCCTCCCGTTGGCTTCAGCCAGCAGAATGATCGATGGACGAATCAGGGCAGAGCTCACTCCTAGATGCATACAATGGTTGAGCTTTTGACTAGTGCCCCATTCATATTCCTCATCAACTGATTGTTCGCTTGTCTGTGGTCGCTGAATGAAACCATCACTGCTGGAGATGAAGGTCGAGCTCAGCTAGCTGACAGGGGATTTTTATAACTTGATTACCAGGCTGATCTAGACACTACTACTTTGATTTGTAGTGAGAAGAGCCAGCATTGATTTGTCCTCTGTGATACGTTTAACCCTTAGAAGTCCAGACGTGTATAACTGCGTAATTATACAGTTAATTACATAGTTACTTATGCCATGAATTACATTTACATTCACTTTACATTCTGTATTGACAGCTACGTGTCTGCATTTTGTACCCATTTCAGTATCAAAATGACAAAAATGCAGCAGAAATGTAAACGATTGTTTTTCTTTTTGCAATACAAGACAACAACTTTTCATAAAATTCAAATCATAAAAAACTCCTCTACTAACAGACACAAATGTGGTGTCGATTGAAAGTTGAGAACACTTACCGCTATTTTACCATCACCTTGATATATAAAAACTACAAAGACACATGTAGCTTTACTGGTAATAAATAAAATGGATGTATTTGTGTTGTAAACATTGCAAACCCTGTTTCACCACTGTAAAGAAATCCCAGTAAGTTTCTCTAAAGTGCAGCATTTCACATCAAAACACTTTGCATCACTTTTAAAACACTTTAAATCACTTTTTACATTTCAGCCACTGAATTATATGGAAATTTTGAAACATCAGAATATTTCTATTATTTATTATTATTGTTGTTTTTATATATTTCTATATTTTCTGAGCATATTGTGGATATCATTAGTACTCAAGGTACACTGACAAACTACATGTGTGAGGGTGATTAGGCCTGTTTAACTAGTTAAATGGTCAGGGCCCATCAGCAGGCTCAAAGTTTTATTAGACACTTCTATAACCTAAGAATAGCTCAACTAGTTGCACTGAAGTCCCTGTGGTTACTAATTAATAAGCTTAAGTATGTAATATACCTGGGATTTTAAGGGGTTAACTGGACTGAATGCTGAATAAAAACCATTGATAATAATAAAACACTGATAGTGTATAACATTATTGTAATTTCATATCATTATTATTATTATTATTATTATTATTATTATTACAGTATTGTGACATCACATAGAATATGAGACTACAGGTTCTGTTTTGTCTGTTCCAAAGTTAAACACCATGTTGCATGTTGTGTATTGTAAAAATGTATCGTGATATAATATTTTTGCCATATCACCCACATCTAATCAGACTTTAATATTGGGCTGTCTTGAACAATTTACTAATAACTGTTTTTCTTGTCCTATGTTCTTTGGATCATAACAGGCAGAATGCATTGTTCTGCGATTCCTAATTTGGAGGACTGTTCATTGACTATGGTTTGTAATGTTATGTAACCAGGGCTCAGGGGGGCAAACGCTATATGCTTGGGCTCCTCCCTGTCGGCTGAATTCCACAGACACGCCTGGATCTGTCTGCATGTGCAGCTGGAGCATCGTTCAGATCTCTCGCAGCTTCCTCACCTTCATCGCGGAAACACATCTGCAGTGATTTGGCGTGTTATTATTTGATTTGGAACGTCCAAGGAGCTCCCCAAAGGCGAGGGATCTTTAATTAACGTCTTGTCTGAGAGGGAGGGTGTGCGCACGAGAGACAGAGAGACTTCTATACAACAGGCCTTTATTCATCCTTCTGCTTTGTGAGACTGCTATGTGCATGATGCACGAAACACACGCACACTCACACTCAAGAACGTTCCAGCCGCCACCCCCCAGCAAAACTCCACTCATGCAACAGATTAGTAGTATTACGAGCAACTGACTTAAGACCAATCCACTTACAGCGACACACAACTGACTGAGTGCAAACTGAGTGACTGTGTCAAACTGTGTTACAGAGCAGAATAAAAGCATTTGACATCATAGTCAAATAAGAGGAATGGGTCACTGTGTAGTGAGTGTAAATTTCATGCTGCGTTAGGAAGTCAAATGGTCAGTTTAATTTTTGCCTGGCAAACAGTTCTGTTCAAAAGACAATGATCACCCTTCATTTATTTCATTTCCAGTCAAAATTGCCAAATGGAAGTTATTAATTTTCCAGCATCAGGAAAAAAAGTAGAAAACATACAGTTAACAGAAAATTAGATTTAATATCAAATATTTAATTATTTAGTGTGTCCATTCTCTGACGTTATTATAGCTTATATTCTTATATAAGAGTTTTTTCCACACAGTTCAGTTTTAGAAGTTGGTTGTACTTTCTGCTTCAATCCAAATCATCCCAAACACACTCAGTGATGTTGAGGTCTGGACTCTGGGATGGTCAGTCCATTGTTCTGAAAACACCAGCAGCTTTTTTGATTGATTTGCAGATTTTCTTCTTTTTTGTCTGCTTCCTTTTCTCAGCTTCTTGACAGCTGCACATCCTTTCAGACTCATAGTGCTGAGTTCTCTTCTCAAAGTGGAAGGATGGACAGAAACTTTTTCAGATCTGAAGCGAGAGTGGAGCTTGACTGATCATTCATTTTTCTTTGACTTTCCCCTTTTTATATCTAATCTTCTTAGAAACATCTCCTAAAAAATAAATAATTTGTACTTAATGGCTGGTTTGACTGGAAATGAGACAAATACTGTACACTGTATGCAGTCCTATATAACTGTATTTTGATATATACGCATGGTTAGCCATCAAGGATAGCTTCCTGCCCTTTTTGATGACCATAATTCTAATTGCAATGACATGTGCAGGTGAACATCATCCAAAAAAACGCTTGGAAATCCACAACATGTCCTTGAAATAGACTCTTGCGTAGGAGTGATTAGCAATAGTGCTCCATTTATGGGATTAGCAAAAATTACCCTCTTTACCCGTTTCCTTTAGGTCTGTGCTTTGTCATGTAACTACAGAGAATGGACTCACATGAACTTTCATGTAAGCCAGTCAGTGCTTCGTCTTATAACTAGGGAAAATGGAGTCAGCTAATGCCATTAGGCTTTGCAGGCAAATGCTAATCTTAGCCAAAGGAAGAAGGCTTTGAGGCTCCCAGCATGCACGGCACAGAGCCGCAGGATAATTGGATGGTCAGATTGCCAAGTCACCACCTGTGAGGACCCCCAACCCTGGAGCCTGAGTCAGGAAGCCTCCCTGCCAGCTATCAGGATTTATTTCCATAAGCAAGAAATGTTTCAAAAAGATACACATTGATTATATTAAACCTGCCAATAGTAAATCTGTCAGTAAGAAAATACATGCAGAATACTTTAAGTGATTAAAAATGTTTAACTAATGTGTAAAACACTACATTTAAGAATTCTTAGAGAATGCTTTGGGTTCTGGAACAATGCTAATGCTAAAGTTAACCAGAACACATGCAAAATATAAGCTCAGGATGATCGTCCTAATGTTCTAGTTTGTAGACTTCACTGATTTCCCACAAATAAAATTTCCACACTAAATCCCAGACAAGTGACAAGTGATGGGTGAGTGAGAAAAGAAGTGAGCGTAAACAACGGGGCGGAGAGCCGTTTGATAACAAAGGTTTTATTACAACATTTGTTTTCCATTATTGATAATGGTTTGTGGCAATATAACATGGTTGCTGAGTTTGTACGAAACCCAAGAAAAAAAAATTTGATCTACAGCTGAAAGCGACCACATGGAATTTTCATTTCGAGAAATGATAGCTTCCATACAATAAGACAACCGAGATAGGGTGCAACACAAAAAGCTACCCCAAAAACCACACACTTACAAAAAGGGCACAATCAATTTTAAAAATAACCCTCATGTTCCTTAGGAGTGTTTCCCGATCTAGGTTGGTCCCACCTTTTTTTCCTCTTCCTCTTTTGTCTCGATCAAAAAAAAAAAGCATTCGCCTGAAGCAGCACTAACAAGTAGGTGTTAATCATTGACGACATAAAAACCAAACAATGTGCATTTTATCTTAAAACTCAATTTCTTTAAAAACAAAAAAATGCAACGCCTTTAAATTGGTGAGCTGGTCACATGTCGACATAAAGCCACGCCTCGATTGGTTGATGAAAATTTGGAAATGTCCACATTCCAAGGCCACGCCCCCCCTGTCCTTTGCCCTTTTCGTACTCTACGCCAATAGCCGAGGCCAACGTCGAGGTAGCCCGCCATGGACACCAGATGGATCCAAGATATGTGCTCCAAAAGTTGGAAGCATTTTCTTTCGCTGCTGGGTTGGAGAAGGGGGGCGGTGATTCTTCTGGCTGTTGACGGAGGGTGATTTCAATTCCATCCAACAGTGATGGCAGCTTTAGGTTTGCTCTCTTTTTTTCAACATTTTTTTTTCTTTTTCAACATTTCGGTTACAAAGTTATACAGCTAAAAGAAGTAAATGAAAAGAAGGCAATGCAGGGAAAGGGGGTGTGCACAGTGCATGATGGCGGCTTGGGGGCTTCATGATGCCGCCTGCTTCTCCTGTTCAATGGCTGTGGAGGAAGAGGAAGAGGAAGAATTAGATTCCACTATGTCCACACCCAGTCAGTTCTGCATAACTTAGCAGGCATCTTGCACAATGCTGCTGCAAGCAGCTTTAATACACCATCAGATATCCCCTGCAAGAGGCCCACAGTTATGTAATGTAACGGTTAAAATACGGGCTCTGGCCTTACTTTCTTTAGACGGCAGCGGGTTCTTCTCCTGGGTCTCGGTCTTCTTCAGCTTGCTCTTGTCGAAGCTGGTGACCTCATCCAGGTTTGGCTTGTCAGACATGATTGTTGAGTGTCTGTCGGGAGACAAGAAAATCAAATAAATCAGATTTAAATAAATAAATGCCCCCAAAATGACTTATTCCCTTCTTCCTTTTGTCTGAGAGACCTCAACTGCTCAAAGATGGTTCCTTCCTTCTAAACCTCCTGAGCTGCCCGCGGCTGTGAGATATTGAGCCCTTTTGTTCAGCAAGAGCCAGGGGCGACTTGAATCACGTTCCGTTGATTTAACTGACCACTGCCACGCTGAACAACGCACAAAAAAACCGCACCCTTTCTCAATGGCGCCCAAAAGGAAAAATGGCCCAAAAAATGTGAACATTTACATAACAATGCGACTTCCCACGCTGAAGGCTGCAAAGGGGAACCTAAAAGGAGACTGAATATGACACTCTGGAGGGGGGGAAAAAAGGCTGTGCTATGGGAAAAAGTTTATATAAAAATGTCCAGACATTGTGTGGGACCCCCACGTGCGTGCACAAAGATTTGAGCAGACTTGCCAAAGGCTCCAGGAACCACCGCCCAGCCCTGCTGCTTTATCTCCAGCACAGCCTTAACGTTCTTAATCACTCCCCAAAGCCTACTGCCCGATACAGGGCAAATACCCCTTATTACAGCCTGTTCCTTACCATTCATGGGCAGAAAGAGCCCCAAATGCCCTTAATGACTAATTATCATGCATAATGCGTTTGCAGCACAAAGGGGCGTAACAAAGGAAATATGTCAGGCAGACTAGCGCGCCAAAAAGGCGAGCAACTAAGAAACAAATCTGGTTTTAAGCATGTTATAAATGCACCTTGAGACATTAAATACTCGCAAAAAATTTCGCTCTTTAGTTATCACTAAGACATCCAACGACACGAAGCTGAAGTCAGCTTCTTGTTCGAATTTTTCCGTGCCACCTTAAATGGTGCAGCAAGCACATTCCAGAATATAACTGCTGCACCATTTAAGGTGGAACGGAAAAAATCGAACAAGAAGCTGGCGAATATGACGCCGATCTTCTAGTGAAATAAAACCAATGCCAACCGTTCGCACTAACATCAGCACAGAAGAGTCGAATAAGAGCATATTACAGGCCAGTGTGTGTGAATGTGTATATATATATATGTATATATATATATATATATATATACACACACACACATGTGCATGTGTACATATATGCACATATATGTGTCTGTGGATGTGCGGAGGCTTACCTAGGGCAGTCAGGTTAGCGTTGAGATTCTCCGTTAACTCTCCGTTGCAGCACTGTAGCGCGTCAATGCGCAAGCGCGGCATATATACAGAGCAGTATGCAAATCGGGCCGTGACGTCACGCCTCAGTTCCCCCTCAGACGGAGAGCGACGAAATCAGGTGATGCGCAAGCAAAGCTGTGAATTCCCGCATTTACCCGCCAACATATACGAGTTTAAGCACAAATAAACGCTTATAATAATCTGTTAGGGTAGTTAGAGATCATTCTGTTAGGAAATGTTTAAAGTCTTGAGTTTCCGCGATTTAGGAGGGTGCAATGGCGCCACCTCGTGGCCGTTGAGTTATCCAACTACTGACTGTGTTGGGGTTCATGATGTCTCAACTTTTCACTCTTTTTCCCCCCTCACACCTTTTTTTCATTCTTTGATTTTTCATTTTCATCCCCTTTGTTTTTGAAGTTTTTGAGCCTCTTGTAGTGTTTGTGTTCTTTCCTGTAGTGTTTGTGTTCTTTCCTGTAGTTTGTCATTTTATTCAATTGTTGGCTTTGTGTTAGACTGTTTCTTAAATATTAATTTAATTATTGATTATGATTTACACTTTCTTGAATTTATTTTTTTTCACCAACACTCACAGCATAACTCATGACTTATACAGAGCATGCACACAAATGTACGAAACTAAAAGATAGTACAATTAATGTTTTTTGTCCATATACTTTAGATATTGATGCATTTAGTTATTCTGGCCCTTTTTCAATTTGGTAATAAATTAATTTTTATTAACATATCACTTATTAAGACCAGAGCAGCCCAAAGTAGGGATGTTTGATTTGGCCAACCCTAACCCCACCCACTACCCAATGAGTTTTATACTTTACATAACTTATTCATTGTCATTAAAATTTATGTTTATGAAATTAACTTATTACATTTTCCTATTGAAAATGTGTATTTAAGGGATTTTAGTAACAAATAATATAACATATAAAAACTTGATTTAAAGCCTCCCTACTCTATTTATTTGTATACTGTTTGGTCTTTTTGGCCCTCTACTTAAAAGAAATATTGTATTTTGGAGACAAAAAAGTTTGGGCAGCTCTAATGCAATGTCACAATATATACACTAGAGTGTAATGCCCACTCCCAACAATGTACATCATGATAAAAAGGGGTCTATAATGAGGTTTGGAACAAAATAATTTAGTTGTTATTTCACTACAAAACAATTCTGTATGCAGGGCAATAAATTAATTAATTAATTAATGATAAATAAATAAATGAAGAAATCTGCATTGATGTCCATAACATTTTTTATTAAGCCTTTCATCAAATTTTAATAGCACTTTGACTTTAATCTTTTTACGTTTCTTATGTTTTTTATTTTGGCTTTATGTTTGTAAAGCACTTTGATTTGCCTCTGTGTATGAAATACGCTATATAAATAAACCTGACTTACCTTGTAAGTTTTTGCAAGGCTCTGATATATCTGCATGACAGTCTTGGTTAAAAACAAAACGTTCAAACAAACAAAATCTTTCATTTTTTAATTTAAAACGTCTTTCACAATGTACCGTGCTGTGGAGGACTTTTATACCAGCGTTTAATGTTTCAACTTTTATTTTGAAAAATGAAAACCCTTGATCCGGAAAGACTCCACGTGAGTTACACATGTGCGCCTCCTGAGTGAGAAACACTGGGTTTTCTGCTGAAGTCTTCAGATGAATAATGTAAAGATTTAAAAGACATTAGAGACCAAGATGAAGTTTGCATACAAGGTACGTGTTTTACTGTTAACCTCAGCCTTGAGATCGTTAGGAGCACGTTTTATTAGCGCTCCTCGAGCCTTAAAGTCTGCTGGTGTAAAATCAGCTCAGACCGCTGAGAGACTGTTCAATATGTAATCATGATCGTAGCAGAAGATTCTGAACACAAACAGACGATTTCTTGTCATTTTCTCTCCAGTTTTCCAACTTACTGGGAGCTGTTTATCGACACGGGAACCTTTCCTTCTCTAAAGATGGGAACTCCGTCATCAGTCCTGTTGGAAACCGCATCTCTGTTTTTGACCTGAAGAAGTGAGTGTCACAGCTTTGGCTGTATAGAAAACTAATCCCACCACATTCATCTGCTGTTAGTTTCAGACTCTGTGCTCTGTGTAATATTACAATAGAAGCCAACACGAGTGCTCAGTTTAAAACATCAACAAACCATTTAAAGCAGGTCATGGCAACCCCTATAGAGCTCAGATTAAAGGATCCACATCATGGAAAGCTGAATTCTCTGGAATCCGGTTTCCACCACTGGGAAATAATAAATAGCCGTTTAGTAAGTCATAATACTGAGAAAATTTCTCATATTTTTGACTTCGTATCTCATAATACTAAGATTCTACTTAGTGTCTCCTAAGTGTGACTTAGGTTACTTTTTCATAAGCGTGACTTAGTGTCTCATAATAGTGATTCAGTCTCATTATTATGGCTTAATATCTCATAATTATGACTTAGCATCTCACAGTAATGACTGCCATAATTATGATTTGGGATCTCATAGTTATGACTTACTTTCTTATAATTATGACAGTCATAGTCATGACTTAGTATCTTACAATTATGATGTGACATACTGGCTCATAATTATGATTTAGCATCTCATAATTTTGACTTATTTTTCACGTAATTCTGAGTTAGTATCTCATAATTATGACTTATTTTTTCATAATTATGAGAAAACCTTCCTTCACAATTGTGGGTAAAAAAGTGCACCATTCACTCCCAGTTTCATACAGTCTTCATATCTGGAGTCTAAGCTGTCTGTTTTAGATTCATTGTTTTTGTGTTGTCACGAAAACCAACACATTTACATTCATCCGCCATTCATCCTCCATCATGCTTTTCGAATGAAGCAAAATATAGGACAGCCAGTCAGAAAACCGCTCATTTCCGAATGTCAGTCTTAAAGGCACAGTAACAAATGTCATAAATGAACCATAGTGGGGGAAAAAATAATATCAATAAAATGTATTATATGGAGCTTTTAGGAGAAGCTGTGTAAAAATGCTCATCCAGAGTCCTAAACTAACTTCATACTAAAAAAAAACAGGCCCAGAGGCCCAGAGCTGCAATAAAACAAGTATGACAGTTTTATATAGAGATAACAGACATAGATGCATGCTGCATTTTGGTCCCTTTGGCCTCCAGTTATTAACAGAGATGCTTCTGTTATTTCAGCAATAAGTCAGAGACTCTCCCAGTGAACACCAACAAGAACATTACCTGCGTCGGTCTGTCACCCAGTGGGAATCTGGCCATACTTGTTGATGAAGGTATCCCAGTTGTATCTTGTTTTGTGCATTTTTCAGTGGTCTTTTCTGATTTTTGAGGTGTTGTGAGTGTGATGAGTGGGCAGAAGTGTTTTTGAATTGTTTCATTAGACTCAGGTGGTTATTAGTGTTTTATGATTTGTGTTGCAGATGGAGCAGCGATACTGGTCAGCTTGGTGACCCGAGCTGTGCTTTACCATCATCACTTCCACAAACCTGTTAACAGTGTCTCCTTCTCTCCTGATGGCAGGTCAGTTGTTCCACATATATGCACACACCCTTTACCTTCACACACAAATTCTAGGCTTATCAATTGCATACATTCTATTCTTCACTCTCTGTAGGAAGTTTGTGGTGACTAAAGAAAATGTGGCTCTGATGTACAATGCTCCTGGAAAGAACCGGGAGTTCAACGCTTTTGCTCTGGACAAGAGCTACTATGGACCTTACGATGAGACGACCTGCATCGACTGGACTACTGATTCCAAGTATGAGACTGCCAAAAAGAAATGCAAATGTTTGGGGACCTAGCTTTTCAAGGAAATTGTGTTTGATTTCAATAGCTTTAGATGTTAAACATGAATTCCACCTCTTTTGAATGTCAGTGTAATTGAATTGTTGAGACATGAACAAAGTCAATCAGACTCGCTTGATGTAAAATGGTTCATTATAGGAGAACCTACTGTCTCTCTCTACAGTGGTGGTGATAGGAACCAGGGGTCGCCATGACTGAAACACAAACATAGCCATTTTTTTTACCATCCAAATCAATTTGAGTGGACTTATACATGTCTTCTGAGTTGTTGCATGTCTCTACTGGTTAAATAGTGGTAAACTGAAAAAAGAGGTTTCCTGTAGGGACTTTTTTGCCTATATAACCATTTCACTGGACTCTTCAGACGTCTGGCTCCTCTCACCACCACTATGTACAATTCTGACTCAGTGTGTTTCTCTAGAACAGAGCAATTCGCATCAAACTACTTTCTTTACATCTTAACTGTTTAATTAGGCAGACGTTTTGAAAAATGTGTGAATTTCCCCTCTAACATATAAATCAGTCACACCTCTAATTCCTTTGTTGTGATGTCAGCACTTTTTAAAGCTGCTTTGGGCTGAAACATTTTGTGAATTAAACATTGTTTGGAAACGAAAACTGTCAAACCAGTATTTAGGATAAACCAGCTGTTCATAGCAAAGAAGACACTTTGATGAACGTGATAAGCATACTTGAAGTATTAACCAGTAGCTGTTTTATCTTATCAAAACCATCGTAGGTGTTTTTTTTTTTAATTGAAAAGAAAAAAAAATCAAACCTTAATTTGGGGAATTTCAAAAAAATGAAGTGTGCCCCCCATCTTTCCACAAGCAGTGTGGTGGCTGCATTTTTGGAGAAATGTAAAATGCTAAAGGAGCTAATGCAGGATAAAGTTTGGAGCAGTCAGTTAGCATCATGCAGCTTTTAACTGATGTTCACTTCCATTCATTTTCAGCATTGGTGAAATACTCGGTTAGTAACTGAAGTAGTCAGTGTCTAAAATCATTTCGTCAAGCTGTCTAACAGACCTTGACAGCTGATTACTGATCTAGGTTCAGCTCTTGTCTGTGTAATTAGACTCATTTGAATACAAAAGGCAACAGATAAAAATTCAACGTTCACCGTTCTGAGAAAAGTGCTTGACTCTCTAGAGGGACGTTTGTCATTGATAATCTGAATAATCTGTGTTTTGCTGTCTCAGGTGCTTTGCGGTGGGCAGTAAAGACATGACCACGTGGATATTTGGAGCAGAACGATGGGCTAATCTGATCTATTACTCTGTGGGGGGCCATAAGGACGTCATTGTGGGCTGCTTCTTCGAGAAGGACAGTCTAGACGTAAGTTCTCAGTGTCTCTTGCTAGTATCGAAGAATGAAGATTCACTGCTTACAAGGATTAATTATTTTCTTACACTATTTTGCCACTTTGTTGTCGCTGAGGTAGGCCTGCAGTGAATAGTTGGCAAAGTCAGCAGCGTCAATTATTATATATTTTTTAAAATGAACTTTTGTGGATATCGTCAATGCAGTGAGAACACTCAGCAATCAAGTTTACGACAAGAGCATAATTAGTCCTGTTTAATTTGATTTAGTGCATTGCTATATGTAAAATAGTTAATAAAATAATTGTACTCAGTTTTGATAGTATTTTTTCACTACTATTGGTACTTTTTTGTCTGTTCTAACTTATCAAATCAGAAAAACTAAATATTGTGATTGGTGTCATGCATTCTGAAAATGTGTTAAAATAATGAGTGTGTTTAGATGCACTTAATAATCCGATAACTGCAGAAAATCAGGTTTTGTCAGTAATCCGATTAACGCATTTACATGCACTTAAGTAATCAGATAGTGGGAAACTCCGGGTCTACACGAGTCAGGCAATAATTTGATTTCTGCCTTGCAACCAGCCAGTAAACTCACAGGAGAAGGCGTGACGTAAACATAATGTAAAACTCAAACGTCATGCCATGTTTTTAAACATTGCGCCACTGAAGATGAAACACGTTTCACATATTTAAATCCTTTATTTAGTCAAGAATGTAGTTGGTTTCACTGTCGCTCCAAAAGTGTTTTGCTGCGTCTCGCGGCAGCGCTGTTTGCTTATTTCCGGTACAGCCGCCTGTTTCGCACATGCGCAGCTTGAGAAATCTGAAAGAAATCTGAGTAAGAGTTTACATGCACTGAGAAATCTGATTACTGAGCTAAAATCCAGCTCTCTTTATCAGATTTCTCAATCAGATTGCTAGACCTTACTTTGGTCATAGAAATCGCAGTATGCTGTTCCCATGACTGTTTGAATAATCATATAACTGCAATAATGTGATTATGATTGGATTATTGAGTGCGTGTAAACACACTCATTGTGATGTATACTTGCCACACCGCCCACCTCTAAAAGGGACAGGAGCAAAAAAAAAGCATATTAGTTACATTTATTGATAAATGATGATAGTTGGTAAGATCATCAACTGCAACTCCAGATTCAGTACAGAATGTCTTTATGAATTGTGCACTGGCATACTGTCAATTCTCTTCTGCCTGTCTTTCAAACACATGACAAACATTTTAGATACACTATGCGTCCAAAAGTTTGTAGACACCTGCTCATATAGAGTTTCTTCTGAACTGAAGAAAACGAATAGGGAGTTTGTCCCTCTTTTGCTGCAGTAACAGCCTCTACTCTTCTGAGAAGGTTTTACACTAGATGTTGAGACATTGCTGTGAGGATTTGTTTGCCTTTAGCCACAAGAACATTAGATGACTTCGGGTACTGATGGTGGATGATCCGTTCTGGATCACAGACTTAACTCCAGCTCATCCCAAAGATAGTGGATGGAGCTCCATCACTCCAGAGAACACAATTCCACTGCTCCACAGCCCAGGGGGGCTTCATATCCCTCCAGCTGATGCTTGGCATTGGGTGTGGTGGCATAGGGCTCATGTCTGGCTGCTCCAGAGTGTCCCATTCTTTTGGCCAGTGCTTTTTCTATGGAAATTATGCAAGCTATTTGTGCACATTGAACACCTGTATCACCAACAGGTGCACTTTAAAGTAACTAAATTCACTAATTAGGCTGGAGTGTCTGGACACTTTTGGATGTAGTATAAATTATTGTATCCCTATCCTGTTAACTGCTGTAAAATAGTAAGCCTGTTTCCTTTTGGATCAGTTGTACACTGTGAGTCAGGATGGCGCTCTGTGCGTGTGGGAGAGCGACACGGAGCTGGACGGGTTACGCAAAGGTCCCAAATACTCAGAACGCAAGAAGATGGCTGAGGAGAGGAAGAGACAGGAGGAGGAAGAGGCTGAAGAGGATGAGATTGAGGAACTGGGAGAAGACGGAGAGCGCAGGGGAGAGGTGATTAAAGGCAGTGCGGATGCACCTACAGAAGTAGAGGGGATCAAAAATGTCCGTTATAAGCAGAAAAGCAAGTAAGTAACTGACTTTCATAACACTTCATAACACAGATTTTGTCCCTTGCCTGTCATTTGTGCTTTTCAGTCAGACTTTGTAGTGGAATATTTGCTTCATTATAACAGTTTTTTGCAGTTTTTTGCTTGAGTAATTTTAGTCTTTTGCACTGGCTTGTCTAATATTGGAATATGAGCTTTATTACCTTTATTGCCATTTTACTATACATTCAATTGATCTCACATTATTTAAATGCAGTTATGTAAGTACATAGTTTGTCTCAGTGAATTACAAGTAGGAGAGAGCAGGGCATAACCTAACACACTGTATTTTGCTAAACAATTGATTTGATCAAGATTATAGTGCCTATATCATGGAAAAATGTTTTCTTGCTCGCTATCATACGTTAACATTGTTTAAGTTTCTAAACATACTTCTGACGCCCAGTCAATACAGTCTGTATATGGAAACTGAGCTGCAAAAACATTTTGAATGGCTTGTTTTTGTGATGTCATGAAAATCTATACGTTTGCATATACCAACCTATTCTATGTAAGCAGTTTAGCTCCGCCAACTCACACTGAGTGAGAAATGCATATACAATTAGATATTACATATATAATATGCAATTACAACATTGTAATATTGTTTTTGTTATCTCAGTCATTTCAGAGGGTTATGGTTTTTGTGGTCACTCCTTAGTGCTTTAACTTTAGATTGTTTTCATAGTAAAGTAAATAAATTAAATAAATATGATACAAATGAATTACAAATGGCCTTAATGTGAAGTACAATTAAATTTAAAAACAATTAAATTTAACTTGGTCTCCTAAAACGTCCAAGTAGTAAGATGTACCAATCTGTTTTTTGCGACAGACATTTTTTCAACAAGGAGGGTGACTTCAATAACCTGACGGCAGCAGCTTTCCACAAGAACACACGCATCCTGGTGACGGGCTTTGCCTCTGGAGCGTTCCACCTGCATGAGCTGCCGGATTTTGACCTCATTCACTCACTCAGGTTGGCCTTCAGTCAAACCATGCTAATACTTTTACCTTCCACTGCTTTTATTAAAGCGATGATTTGGCCAAAAGTCAAATATAAACTGAGCTCAGGCACTGAAAGCTGATGGAAGTGTAAATCTTTTCCAATATGAGTTTCATTAAATCTATTTAGCTGTTCATTGTGATATTCTGGGCTGAGACTGAATCCTCTGAACTGTTCTAAACACATTCTTGCAGTTTGTTTCCACAATTCGTTGATTTTTTTTTTTCCCATTACACATTTAAGTGGGATGTCCTCTTTGTGGTGTTCATCTAAGAACTTACTGAATCCTTGAAACTTTAACTGATGACTAATTGCCATATTAATAATTGTGATTATCAGTTCAATTACCTTTACTTGTTCTTTGTCTGAAGTGGCCAGATTGGCTGATTAGCCAGGTTGCTTCCTAGCTGTCAATACTTAGTAGTTCCTGACTGACAATAGAAACATCTTAAGCACAAACAAACATTACTCACTGCTGCTCTCTAACTGTTACAGCACCAAATCAGAAGTTAGTTTTTATTATTTGTGAAAGTCTCAAGATGTTTCTCAGTAAATGTGTTTTCTTTATTTCTTTATTTTCATGCTTTTGTATCAACCAAGTAGATTAAAAAAACATCCAGTTCACATTCTGTTTGTTTCAACAAAAACTGTGGAAAATATTGCGATTAGCTCAAGGCGTAAAAGGAAAGTAGTTTGAGAAATAGGTTTTCAAATCTTAGTGGATGACACCCATGGAAAAATAGTGTTGCCCCAACTCTGAAATACCAGTTCAACCCATGCATGCATTAAAGCATCAAACTTACAGACACTTAAGTTGTGTAAATTAGATTTTTGGCCAAACCCTCGTTTTAAAAATGTTTCCATTGTTTCTGTCTTGATTACAAAACTTGATATTTTTATATCTTTGAAACTGGAATGTTGCTACAGTACTGAAGTATTGATTTGGCACTTATTAACTTATTCTTTTTATGATTTGTTTTTTTTCTCATCAGCATATCGGATCAGAGGATTTCAGCTATATCTATTAACCCCACGGGAGACTGGATTGGCTTTGGCTGTTCAGGTACAAATATAGTATTATCGTAGACATTTAAACACTTTGAAGTGTAACGCAATGCGTTTCCGTCAGCTGTAAATATTAAGTGAGCAGAAACACGTCTGTTGTTAATGCAAGGTGTAAACAGGCTCTTACACGTTGATGAACATGGTTACTAAATTGACTGCTGGTTTTAAAGGACGTGGACAGCTGCTGGTTTGGGAGTGGCAGAGCGAGTCATATGTGTTCAAGCAGCAAGGCCATTTCAACAACATGGCCTCTCTGGCTTACTCTCCTGATGGACAGTACCTGGCTACCGGAGGAGATGATGGGAAGGTGAATTGTGGATTTTTTTTTTCCATCAAATCTATGTGGTTAGATGAAATATGAGTTAAACCTTTATGCAACCCCTTTTTGTATCAAAGCTACTGTAGCTTACTGAGCTGAAAGGGATGTGCATACCCAATAAAACAGATTTTCCTAAAGAGTTACTGAACGTATAATTTTTAACTGCGTAGAAGAAAAAAAATGCCAAGAAAAGGACTTTCACTGAGATAAATGTAGGGCTGTAGGGTTACCTTTTTAAACGACATCAGAAATCAGTAGTTTTTTGTGTCAGAAGTTACTAGAGCTGAGAGGTACAATCTTGAATGCCGACAATGACTCGTTGTCTTCTATATTTGGTCTTTTCTCCTCAGTTGACAGCGTTTTACTATATTTCAATATATAATATATAATTTCAGACCTGCCAACCTTCACACATTTTGCGTAGCAGGTACGCATTTTGACATCAAAGTACGCTGATGCGATTTGTCACTCTACGCAAAAAGCTGGTGACGCCTGAGAGTTCAGTTGTGCACATGCAATACTCAAGTCTAACAGCAGTAGGCAGCAGAGTCTAGCCCTCTAAAAAACAAAAGAAATAGAAGAGTTTGACCGACCATAGAGCTAGGTTCGTTTGCCATGGAGGACAAATGTCAGTCATTTCAAAAGACTGCAAATCGACACAAAATAGGTTTCATCCCTCTCGCTCCTCACTTCATCTGGCTGGTTCCACAAAGGAGGACAGTGCTTTTAACTCCTTTGCAAAGGTAAATGGGCTGCATTAAAAGTAGGGATTTTAGGCTGTAGGAGCCAGAAATACTGCTTGCTTTTGCCCCCCCATGTGGCCGTGTGCCAAGTGAAGGTTTATTTTATTTTTATTTATTTATTTATTTTTTTTAACCTTACACTATTGTGCTAGGCAAAATATTTTCCCAAGGTTGGCAGGTCTGTAATTTCATTGTTTCTAAATCTAGCTATCATCAGCTAGAGTATGGTCTCATTAAGGCACTAATGGTTACAAGTTACAGACTCACAAATACAAGCAAACTCTCCACATTTTACATATCTATTAAAACACAATCAGCATTTCCCTGAATTCTTGGTCTTTATATTTTCTCTGCCTTCCTGAGATGAAATGTAAGAAATACCCGAACACTGAATACAGTATTTGAATGCTGGCACCTCAAACAGTTAACAGAGTACGTGAGTAACAACGCACATCGCTTTAAGCCAATTTAGTAACTGTTTTCTCTCAAGTACACGATGTACCAAAAGGGCTGTCATAGCAAATCCAATCAAGTTTTGGTGTCCATTATTTATTTTTGCAACATTAATTGGTTGTTAATTGGATTTAATCAATCAAATAATTAATTGGTTTAACTGGCCAGTATGAGGTTAACATATTTGTCTCATTTTTAGGTGAAAGTGTGGAACACCAACAGCGGCCTGTGCTTCGTCACATTCACAGAGCACACAAGCAGCGTCACTAACGTCACCTTCACCACCAGCGGCTTCGTGGTGATCAGCGCCTCTCTGGACGGCACTGTGCGAGCCTACGACCTGCACAGGTAACAGGAAGCAAGCCGAATTAACCTGACTGTGTTCTCTGTATGTGGTTTAAGACACTGTGTATGACATACTGTTATCTGTAAAAGTGGAGAAATATATATTGGATAGTTTAATACCATACCGGCTATGAGGGATTAAAGTAGTATCAATGCAAAGAGGCCCAGTTTTCAATGTTTTATTTTGAATACTTTGAATGTGTTTTAAACCTATTGTTTGTTTACCATAATACATTTCTGTGTCGTTCCACGAGATGGCGCTGTTTCTCTTTGGTGGAAACGAGTTCTGTCAGTAGAGTTTTTATTAGGACTAGTCAGACAGTTTAGTGGATTACATGCTGTCCGTGAATGCTGGAGAATGGGAATCAGTCCCATCATTCAGACAGGAATCATTAGAAAGGACCATCATTTGATAAAACAAACTGTTCTTTTGGAGCAATAATTTACCTTCAAAAGCAAATATATCGCTGTGTGGCATATTGCACTGTTTAGCGTTACACAAGTATTTAAAAATTACAATAGAATCATATCTTGGCTAGTGTATCGTGGCAGTATTGCATTGTGGGATCTGCAGTGACTCCTACTCCTAGTAACTCTCCTAAACCTTCAAGCTGAATTCTGTCCATTTTTTTTCCAGGTTTATAGAAATGACTTGCTGGAAGTCTGGAATAAAGTACCACATCGTAACATTATACTGGTTCCTACCTTCAGTGTACTTTCTGTCTGTTCTCAGGTATCGTAACTTCCGCACACTGACGTCTCCACGGCCGGCACAGTTCTCCTCACTGGCGGTGGACCTGAGTGGAGAGCTGGTTTGCGCTGGAGCTCAGGACTCATTCGAGATCTTCCTGTGGTCAATGCAGACAGGACGTCTTCTGGAGGTCTTTCTGAGCTTTGTTTTGTTTCATTTAAACTGATAAATGCTGGCGTAACTAATATTGGCTAAGGTCTTGTGGCAGCCAGTTAGCCTTTTTTCCCCACATAAATCGATATTTAGAATCACGTAGATAAAGCTTATTCAGTTTTCAGATAGAATCATAACAATTATGGGATGTTAATAAGCTTGTATTCATCAAATGTATCAGCATTTTAAAGTGAAGTGTTCATTTAAAGCTGTAGCTGAATTTAGCTGAGCACTTTTTGGGGTCTTTGTCTTTAATCTGTATGTAGCAGCCCAATTAGACACAACAAATAGCAGCTACGTAATCTATGTGTGTTTGTATGGGCAGGTGTTGAGTGGTCATGAGGGTCCGGTGAGTTGTCTGTGCTTCAGTCCAGTGCAGTCTGTGCTGGCCAGTGTGTCCTGGGACAAAACGGTCAGACTGTGGGACATGCTGGACAGCTGGCAGACCAAAGAGGTTCTGCGCCTCACCTCTGATGGTAAGCTGTTTGCTAATTTTATGGCAAGATTCACTCATCTGAAAGGCTCTTTTTAGGGGTGGGCAAACATCATACAACCCCATTTCCAAAAAGTTGGGAACGCTGTGCAATATGTAAATAAAAACAGAATGCAGAGATATGCAAATCATTTATCATTTAAACCATAGATTTAATTGAAAATAGTAAAAGGACAACATATCAGATGTTGAAACTGAGAAATTAAATTGTTTTTTGAAAAATATGTCAATTTTGAATGGGATGCCAGCAATACGTTTCAAAAAAGTTGGGACAGGGACAACAAAAGACTGGTAACTTTTTGGGAAAATGGGATTGTATTACAAAAAAGACTTTTCATGATACACGATATGCATCACAGTATTTTAACACAGTGCACCAGTATTGCCACATTTAAAAAAAACAGCCAAGGAAATCTATCAGTGACTTTTATTCAGCGTTTCACATACTGCACTGCACTAAACCCAAATAAACAGGGCTAATTATTCCTGTCTATAATGAAACATGAAGTTGGTCAGTGTTCTTTAGATATGGACGATACAGACAAAATATAATGTTTATCAAAGTGTATCTCAGTAACAATAAAACATTGTCGTATTGCCCACCTCTACCTCCGTTATATGGTAATGACACAGGTTGTTTTGGTTGTGATTTCTAGTTAAATATTCCTAAATATAAGTTTAATGATGATTTGGACCACATACATGTTTGACGAAACAGCTTATCGTGTCGAAAGCCTTTGTGCATGCATATTTATTATATATTTGTAATGATCTGCATCACTTAAGACTTGCATAGACTATTTGTCGCTTTTTTTTATCAGGACATTCAGCAAAGCAAGGTGCTCTTGTAAACTTGGTTGCAAGCTGAGATGTAATGAAGAAAAGCCCTGGTTATATGTGACACAGAAACAGCAAAATATTATCAGGCAGAGAGAGTGAGAACAAAAAAGAAGAATATTTGAAAGGACAGTGTGCAGAGCGTCTACACAGTAAGGATAAGTGTCCTTTAAACCTCTTTGTCAGGTCTGGTGGTGACGTATCGTCCAGATGGTCAGGAGCTGGCAGTAGCCACTCTGGATGGAGAAATCACGTTCTGGAATCCTCAGACGGCAGGCCAGACCGGCTCCATCATCGGCCGCCACGATCTTCAGATGGGTCGCAAAGAGACCGACAAGATCACCGCCAAGCAGTCAGCAAAGGGCAAGTGAGTATTACAGAGACCAACAAGATCAATGGGCTAAACAATTTAAAGGCTGTAGATGGTTGGATGTAGTAGATGGTTAGATGTAGTTCAGTAGTTTATAAACGTGAGCAGAGTTGAGCCATGAGGAAGTTTGATTGACCCACCAGAGGTAGCCTAGCCTCACCCCCAGTGAGAGAACAAACATAATTTAGACTATGTATAACTTATTAAACTCTCATTTTACTTTTAAAATTGTATTTGTAAGTATTTTAGTTACAAAACATAAAACAATATTATAAAAGACATTTTAAAAACCTGATTTGAAACCTCTCTACCTTCTGTATTTGTATATATGTGTATTGTTAGTGTATTGTTATTAACAACTTGATACAGTTTGAGGCAAATGATAATTTGCCATTTAGTTTGCATAATACTGTTTACTTTGTAGCTACATTAGCCTCTTAGCTCTAGTGCAAAACTTAAAAAGCAAACTTCGGACAGCAAACAGGGTCTAGATCAAAGATATCTTCTGTCTTTAGAGTCATGATCCACAGAGAAGTACTTTGTTTCTACTTTAAACATTAAAAGCCCAAAATTTAAAGGTGCTTAAATCATATAAGTCTTTACTTCCTCAAAGCCCAGCGAGGTGTGTTTTCCTTTTGTTTGGCAATTGCCGGTGTGACTACAGAGAATGTACATTTGTGGGGACCTGTTAGCAGGTGTGTTGTGTATAATAGTAAAGTGACCTCACTAACTTTTATTCATCATTAGTATATTTGCACTCACTTAATTTTTCCAGGGCCTTCACTTCACTGTGTTATTCTGCTGATGGTGAGTCCATGTTGGCCGGTGGCCAGTCAAAATTCGTCTGCATCTACAATATCAAGGAGCAGATCCTCATGAAGAAGTTTGAAATCTCCTGTAATTTGTCCCTGGATGCTATGGAGGTACGGTCTGCTCTGCTCATAGTGAATTCTAAACCAACTGTAACTTTCACACTGTTATTCTTAATTACAATTAAGAACCGCTATGCTGTCTTCTTAACTTTGACTTTATAGTCTATGTAGTCTCTATAGTCTCTATAGTCTGTATCTATTGATATCTGTAAAATCTGATAATATTGTTCTGAAGAGCACCTGCTCCTCTTCATGTTATCTTCTGACCGTATTTTAAAAGGCTGTCATCTCAGCTAGTTACATAACTTTGGCTTTCATGCGGCACTCTGGCAGGAGTTCCTGGACAGACGTAAGATGACGGAGTTTGGGAGCCTGGCACTGGTGGATGAGGGCGCAGGAGATGGAGACGGGGTTGAACTCAGTCTTCCTGGTGTCAGGAGAGGTGAGAGGACTTCATTAAGCCTTAGAAGGCATTTGGTTCTGTTGTTTTGCAGTACTATTACTACATAATTAATGACAGTTATGTAAGTAGTTAGATATATATTATGTTTACATTCAGTATTGACCAGTTTGTAACTTTTTTTTTTTATGTGTGTTTTAAAAATGACAAACATGATAAAAATACAAAGGACTATATATATATATATATATATATATATATATATATATATATATATATATATATACTTCTATTTCCAAACACATACATAGTATTAATTAACAGTTTAGAAACCACAGAATCTGTTCTGTGGTTTTGTTTGTGGGGAAATCAGCTTGAACTGTTTCTCCTGTTGCCTCCTCCAGGTGATATGAGTTCCCGCCACTTCAAGCCAGAAATTCGTGTCGCCTCTCTCCGCTTCTCCCCAACTGGTAAGTAATGTTTAGATTCTTATATATAAGCTTCATTTCTGAAATAAGCTGGTAGATATTTAAACAAGGGTCCCTGCAGATCCTTAAAAAGTCTTATAAGGCCCTAAAACAAATTTTAAGTTTGTAATGTCTGAAAATGTCCTTTAAAACTATTAAAGGGATATTTTAGTAGATCGGATATCAACTATGTTAAGTCCTGATCCTTTCTTTCTTTTTGCGCTCTGTTTACTGTCATAGAGGAGCTATAAACAGACATTATTCCATGACCTGCAGCAGTGAGAATACAGAATTTGCATAACATTTACATATCATTGTTTACCTAAAAAATGGCAAACAACACTATGGGCTCAAGGACACCCCTTTAAACACATAATGTTGTTTACATCATAACTCGAGGTAGTTAAATTGGAATAGAATAAAAAAAATACAAATAAATATTATGTCTGTATCGCTGCTCTTTCTCCTATCAGGGCGCAGCTGGGCAGCAGCATCTGCAGCAGTTTTTCAGAGGATAACAAAGCAGTTTAAATGCTAGCATTGTTGAACATTTCTATGGTGGAAAATTAAAAGTTGCAGTATCTGCTGCAGCTGTAGTTCACCTGTGTTTTGTAAAATGGGCAAGTGAAATGTGAGAGAGTGGCTATTACTGCCCCCAGCCCTGAGCGACGTACCACATAAACCATACGCTACACTCGCTCCCTCAGTGTTTGCCACCTACAAGCTGTGACCGGTTGAAAGCAAAACTATCCCAGGAACGTTCTGCTTTACCAGCTACGCTGCTTCTGGCTTTATCTGATCTCCTCATGACTTAGTAAAAACTGCTCTCAAGCAAAAACAGCATATTCAGACTGCAGTTGGTGTAATATGTTAGTATTATATGTTATTTTAGTATGAAATTGTAGCATATTCACAACCTTAAACAATGGTTATTTCACATATATAGTCCAATAAAACAGAATATGCCAATTCAGTTTGTATAACACTGTGCATAAATCAAAAATGAAGTGGTTTCACTGCAGTGTGTTAAAGTACCACATCATCTGGTAGGTCACTTAAATTTGATCTTAAGTCAGTAATATTAAAACGAATTATAAAATAGGAATTTTTAAAAAGTAGGCAAAAAAAAATAAACACATCAGTCCAGAATGTCACATTGTGCACATTGCTAATTAATACTACAGTAAAACCAGTTCATTTTTACAGAGTAGCAAAATCTTACAGAAATTACGCAGCTATCAGATTGGACTCGGATTCTGAGTCTGAGTCTGGGCAAAAATACAAATCGGGACGCCCTCGATTAAATTCTAGGGTGATGCTTAAAGAGTCATTGTGTATATTAAACGTATTCCGACTAGTCTGTTAACCAAAAATATCCACCTAACAGTGGTCTTGTGGTGAACACGTAGCAAATCGTAGCAAATTCACAGCCCTAAAAAATGGTAAACACTTTGGGCTCGAGGACTTTCTTTAAACACAGTGTTGTTGAGGTAGTTCATTAGGAGTGAGATTTGAAGAAAAAAAAAAGTTAATATTATGCTGTATAATCATATATTATTGCTGCTCTTTCTCCTTCAATCAGGGCGGAGCTGGGCAGCAGCATCTACAGAAGGTTTGCTCATCTACTCCCTGGACGCCTCATTGATATTTGACCCATATGACCTGGACATGGACATTACGCCAGTCAGCATACGTCGTCAGCTGAAGAAGAAGGAATGGACATCAGCCATTGTTCTAGCTTTCCGTCTGAATGAAACCTCTCTGATTAGAGAAGTGCTGGAGGCTGTGCCTTATGACCAAGGCAAGTACAGTTTATCATAGTCTGGGGTTTCAGACAGTCGTATGCAAAAGTTTGGGCGCCGCTGATCAGATGACATGTTTTGTTGAATGTGAGTTCAGATAATTTAACACATCCTCTACAGACACACTTCTGCACATTTTAATGCACAAGTACTGTTAACTTGCAGAATTTAATATAATGGGAAACAAAGCATAAAATGTGGCCTGTGCAAAAGGCACATTATATATTTTAATGTTTAATTTTTTTCCAGTATGTTAAACTATAAGAAGAAAATAAATAGAAATTCTGCACTTAAATTTGCAGAGACATAACATATTTAAATGTGTTCTTTGCAGAGGATGTGTTCATTTACTCCTGTATATTATACTACATTTACTTTTTAATATATTGGTTACTTTTATAATATTGCATAAAAGTATTTGGGCCCCAAGGAAATATTAAAACTTTTGGACAGTAAGTGTTTATTTGATCATAAAAACACTAACATTAGAATAAATACAAATGATCAATACATTATTATTTTGAGTTTGTAAAAATTCACATAATGGTGTATTGATAATTTGAAGCAGGTACTGGATGAAAACTCTAAACTGTGAACTTTCTCTGACAAATACTTCATTAAATTACACTGTAAGTTAAATTTAGGTGATGGTGGTAAAATTTTAAAACTACATGAGATGTGACGCTAAATAGTTTTAAAAAATGTTATTGTGTCTAAGATTTGTGTAGTACTGTGTGTGTAAAGTGTTCATTGTCTCTCTTGGTTATTTAGTGGCAGTGGTGTCCAGTTCCCTGCCGGACGTGTATGTGGAGAAGCTGCTAGACTTTGTGGCCTCGACCCTGGAGAATTCCAGGCACTTGCAGTTCTACCTCACCTGGGCTCAGAACCTCCTCACCTTACATGGGCAGAAGCTCAAGAACAGGTTTGGAGATCTCACAGTATAATTTTCAGTATATTTCATCATTATCACACTTAAACCTCAAGAGAATAATATCAGATAATAGGATTCAATGAATACTATCAAAACTCAAGCATTATAACTCTATTTAACTGTTTTATTACAAAAACTAGAGGATGTAGTGATACTTTAACTTTCGAGGTAATCAGGTTTTGCACACGTATTTGATTGACAGGTCAGGAGCAATACTGCCGACTATACAGCAGCTGTTGAAGAGCATCCAGAGACACCATGATGACCTGTCCAAACTGTGAGTCCCTGTCCACTCCATGCCCATCATATAACATACAGATTATAATGTTGATCTCTAAATCTCAAATCCCAGTCCATAGTCCAAATATGGAAACTAAGCTACAAAAACAGCCCATTTTGTGTTCGTCATGGTAACAATGTCACAACCACAAGCATATTTACCTATGACCATCCATTCAGCCTTCAGCAATAGCGTTATTACTGCATACAGTCTGCAGCAGACCTATTTAGTGGAAGGTAAAATGATTAAATGCTGTGCTGCCTCAGGCTGCTGAGCAGTAAATGTATCATTACATAGCATACATTTCCAAAGCATCCCAGAAGAACTTAATAGTTTGTTCTGTACATTTCAGCCTGGCATGATAGGATCAGACCATCAGAACAAAGGTCATATTAAAATCATATTAAATCATATTATCATATTAAAAGGTTTTAGGCACTTAGGACTTGTGAATTAAAAAGCAGTTTATCTGGACAGTAAGCATTTATTTGTTTGGAAAAACACTGATATTAGAATAAATACCAGTGTCAGTAATACAGTGAGTAGTTGCTTCATGTATGTCAGTATTTGTTCAAATGTATGTTCAATTATTTCCAAATCTCTAATCAAGGAAGCTCAGTATTATTTGTATTAATCATCCAAAACCTGGGTTGGCTAATCAGTACTTTGTCATACTAAACCAGGTGCTTTGGTGATAGAATTTAACAACTTCCTTGGACACTGGTGGCGTCCAGGAGACATGTGGAACCAAACTGTTCTTTTAGCTCACAGCATATCTGCTTGTTTTTCAAAACAAAAATTCCTGTCACTTTTTTAATGTATTTGTTAGTTTATTGTAAGGAGATACAGTGTTTAAGAACTGCCAAGATAAATGTGCTTAGGTGCACATTACTGTACACCTGTCTTACAGGCACAGCAATAAAAACGATTAATTTATTTCTAAGGGATTTTTGGCCCTGTAAAATGAATTACTGTTTTTGGTACATAAACCATACAAACATTATAAATGGACAAATAATTGGATAATTGTAAGTAGACAAAAAGGAAAGAATAAATCCAAGTACATACATTTTTCTTTAAAAGGTATAATGAACTTCTAACCTGATACCCCTTTTCCACCTTTCCAGCTGTGACTGGAACATATACACTATCCGCTACATCAAGGCCCTGTCCAAGCAGAGGGGGATGAAGAGGACGGCAACGGATTCACTCAGCGAGCAAGAGGAGGAGGGGGAGGGAGGATCAGTGGTCATGGGCTCAGAGGATGAAGAGGAAGATATGATGAGTGAAGCACTCATAGTAAACTGACACTTACATAAACCTGAACTTACACTGGAGTGGCACTGGGAACCAGTATCTAGTGGTGCAAGAGGAAAAGAAGAGTCAGACTGGAGAAAGATTCAGGACAATGTCTGGGCAAAATTCAAGAAGGAGTTTGTTGTGGCAGTTTCATGAACACACACCATCACTATCTGCTGTGAGAAGTGAAACAGAACCTGCTAATTATCTTTTTTTGATAACTTTATTGATGAAACCATCACGAATTTTATACTGTATGCTAAGTAAGACAAGTCTTTGTGTGAAAAGTGATTAAAAAAGATTTCTTTTCTAAACAACATATATGGCAGATTCCATCTGTTCCCATTTCAGTGTTTGTAACACAATCCAAGTCTGAGACTTAGGATTGTGAATCATTTACACAAGATCTTGAACAAAGGTATATTTCAAACAGATGAAACTCTAGCTGTAGCTTCAGCCCAAACAATGGAGCTATGAGACCACAGTGAAAGCATTACAATAAAAACATCAGCATGAAGGAAACGTTGTTTAGGGAACAGAGATGCTCTTAACTGCAAATAAAATCAAAATTACATACATCACTGCTGTCGGAACAAAACCTCTGTTTTTCAGTTGCCGACAGAATTTTAAAACGCCTGTTGTTCTTTACATTGTAAATTTCATGATGAATAGACAAAACAAATGGCCTAAAATGACTTGGAAAAAGTCTGACTTACATTAAAAGTAGGTTTTCCCTCTCCTGTTATGTTACCATTTGGGAGATATGAGGTTTTGTTCCAACAACTAAAACTGTATGTTTTCTATCATGAGTGTGTGTGTGTGTGTGTGTGTATGTATATGTATGTGTATATATATGTATGTATATATTTTTGGGAAAATTTGTGTGGTATTACTGTAGATCTTTTTTAAGAAGAGTACTGTCTATCAGTTTACTAAGCTAGTCAATAGACCTCTGAGAGTTTAACAGAGACCCAGGGATAAAAAAAAATTCTGTCCTTCTGTGAATCAGAGGACTTACATAGCTAAGGTAACTAACTGGCTACGTTACTTTATTATCTTGTTATTAAAACGAATTAACCTACAATGTGAGCACAAAATCCTGGTGAGCTTTGGAGCAAAATGGAGAACTATAGCAGCCTAATTACTGTTAATTTTTACAATTCGACTATTTACAATTTAAATAACAGTGAGTGTTCTGCACTGTTAAAAAGATGGTTCTTTAAATGTTCTTTCATAAAGGGAATGGTTCTAAATATAACCATGAACAATTAAAGAACACTTTACATGATTAAAGGGTTCTCTGCATGAAAGAGGCCTTCAGATTATGGACAATGTGTTTCAGATGGTTCTATATAGAACCTTTTTGAAAGGGGGTCTTCTATTGTTATGATGTCAAGCTTCTAACAATGGAAGAACCTTTTTTGCTGCTACATAGAACTTTTCAAAAAGGTTCTGTGTAGAACCATTTTCAACACATTGTCCATCAATCTGAAGAACGCTTTTATCATTCTTTATGATTCTATACAGAACCATTTTCCTTACTAAAGAACCATCTCATGCTTGAAATGGTTCTTTGCATGGTGAAATGGTTCTTCAGACTAATGGAGGATGTGTTGTATATGGTACTGTAGAGAAAGTTTTTGAAAATGGTTCTATATAGCACCAAAAAGATTTCTTCTATTGTTATAAACTTGACATCCACAGAACCACTTTCAAAAAGGTTCTATGTAGAACCATATACAAAAAAACTTGTATCTTCATTTTTGTCATGTTTCACTTTTTTGCAAGATTTGAAAACTCCAGTTACCTTCTCCAAGTTACAGTTGAATTTTGTTGGAATCGCACAATGACTGATCAACAGAAATGGTCTGAAATGACTTTAAAAAATCTTGTTGCATTAACTTCCATTATAAGTTAGGAAGGTTTTTCTTCTTCTGTAAAGTTAACATTTTGGAGCTATAATTTTTTTTTCTGACAGCCACAGTTTACTTACCCTGCAATACAGGAATAATGCTGCTTGTTTACTTCCATGTCATTTTAGATCAGTGGTCACCGGCCCTGCTCCTGATGATCTGCCTTCCTGCAGAATTCAGCTCCGGCCCAAATCTAACACAGATGTCCCCACTAATGAAGTGGACTAGTTATCTGGATCAGGGCTGAAAGTGAATTCTTCAGGAAAGCAAATCTCCAAGAGCAGAACTGGTGACCAGTGTTTTTTCGATGGATTGCTATTTGATAAGTCTTCTCACTTCTTGACTTAGCGCTGTTAGTCTGCTGAGAAATATCACTGTTATGTCTAGCATGCACATGCATTTTGGAGACCTTCGGTCTATTCTTTTCTGAAATTTTGGACACACGTTAAAATTTCACACAGTACACTGTCTTCCATTGCCATTGAATATTGTGGAGTTAACACGCTGAGCTCAATAGCTTGTCATATCTTGTCAGATTTCAAAGCTACAAGATGAAAAACAGCCTTGTGATCAGATATAACGTTGTTCTCCGGTTCGGGTGATGGAAAGATGTTGAGCTCCTGGATGGTAAAACCCAGGTTGTGGAGCTCAGCTTCAATACTCTCCTGGCTGAGCTGGAGACAGGAGAAGCGTGTTTGGTTAACACAGTAGAAACTCTCTTCTAAAACACCCACCATGACCAGAACTCCAGCAGGCCGCAGCAGTGTGGATAAATTGGCTAGTGCCTTCTTGTACGCCAGCATGTCTTTGCAGGCCGCCTCAAGACACAGGCATGTTATCATGCAGTCTGCAGGCTTCAAGGTTTGAGGGTGGAAAGGATTTTCCAACCGGACATCACATTTCAGCACCTGTTTCACCCTCTGCCTCACTTTAGCTTCCACCTCAGACGGGCTGGAGGAAGAGTTTCAACAGTCAGAACCGTTCACGAGACTTGCAATACAATAATTAAAACACAGTGAAGCATCTGCAACAATGCTGACTTGAAACATCTGCCCATTAGCTTCTAAAGCACTGCGAGGCAACAGGTCTTCTGTATTAGGTAGGTTGCTGCTGTGTGGTAAACCATGAATGCTGGTATGCTGGTAAACGAGCATGTCCATGCTGGGTGACCAGCTAAACCGGCACAGACCAACTTAGACCAGCATTAGATGGACTGCATGCTGGTCTGTGCTGGTTATTTCAGCAAGGTCAAACGGCTCACATTTAATTCTTGGTCCACTGCAGTAAGTGTTTTTTGCTACAAGTGCCATCATGGTCTTTGTTTTCAGCTGTACAAAGCTGCTGTTTTTGTGGGGTCTGCTAACTTCTGTTTTCAGCTGCTCAGTGACCACCATTGGCGTCAGGGGCTTTGGAGGAAAAGCCACAGTAAAGTTACTGTGTAAATGGAAGAGCACAGAAAGACAGTCAAGAATAATGAGGTCGAGATTTACGAGTGCTTTCAGTTTTGATTTTGTTCTTGGTAAGTTTATTCTTCATTAACATTACATTAACATCTGTGTATGTCCTTAACTCTGGATTCATAGTAAATGATTCCAGATGCATTTGATAGTTTTCTATGGAAAGGTGTCCTACAGGAAACTACTGGTCTCTAATGGTAACCAGCCAATTAGAAAGTACTAGAAACTATCAGGTTTCAGTCGTAATAGTTCTAATGGTCTTTTTCAGGTGGACTGCTATCTGGGGTGTGTTTGCAGGTTTTCCTTTCAAACAAACAGGAGCTTGAATCATCTGATTCCACCTGATTGGTCTCAGTCAAATTACTGGTCATGTGCGCTTCTACTATGTGGCAGTAAAAGCCTGAAGCGGATAAGCTTGGACAGCCCTGCACTGAGACACAGGGCAGTATGACTCCAACGATCTGGAGTCGGTTCGGGAATCGAGAGTCCAGCGCTGTGACTCGGAGCAATCAAGGAATCGATTCTTTCGGAGATCACCAGTGAAGTCGGTCAGACCGCCAACACAGTATTTCTGAGTCTTAAGACGTTAAATATGATGTAGATCCTCTGTTAAATCTGAATGTTCAGCGTCTGTCTGAATATTTGAAAACAGAAAAGTGTCTGACCTTTTTTTCTCCTTGTTGCAGACATACTGGATAACGGGCTTCCAGTTGAAACACGCTTCCTCATTCCTTAGCCATTTCTCTAGTTCCTGTCGATTAGCGTCTGCAAAATCTGACAGGACGATCTCCTGGAAATGCTCACAGGCGCTGAGGACGCTGTGGATAGTTGGTCCACTGCCCACGTCAATGAGGGTCTGGCCTTTATATCTGCCTGAAAGACAAACGCTTTTGTCAAACTGTTCACAGACGGTGTTTTATGGGTTGGAGGGTTTGCTGAGAGACCTACCTGCTGAGAAAGTCTTGCTGAGACAGTCTAAAACGAAAGTAAGAAGACGCTTCTCGCCTGAATGTCCCTCTGGTCTGGAATAGAAGTTATCGATGTAAGCTCTGGAGTCAAAATGCTCCTGGTAAAACTCCCCCTCAGTGAAACTGACCTCCATTACTCCCAGTCTGTTCCCAAACTCTCTCCAAACAGAGAAGGGGCGCTAACTTTCGATATGAGCCACGGACGGTTTTGCAAGAGGCTCTCAGGCAACTTTAAACTGTGCTGAAATGTTGGGTTAGCATAACACAGCTGGTTAGCTGGTAGAAAAATGACCAGGTCAAAGTCCATAGATGACTATTCACTTAGAAAGCTGCCTGATATGGTATGATACATTTGCATCAATTAATGTACTTTAATGCAATATATTCTATATAATTTAATGCACAAGTTTGCAGAATTGAATATAATAGGAATTGCACATGCCTGTGCAAAAGGCACATTATATATTTTAATGTTAAATTTTTTTTCCAGTATGTTAAACTATAAGAAGAAAAAGAAATTGTGCACTTGAATTTGCAGAGACATAACATATTTAAATATGTTCTTTGCAGAGGATGTGTTACTTATATAAGATTACGTAAAAGTATTTGGGCCCCAAGGAAATATTAAAACTTTTGGACAGTAAGTGTTTATTTGATCATAAAAACACCAACATTAGAATAAATACAAATGATCAATACATTATTATTTTGAGTTTGTAAAAATTCACATAATTTAATGGTGTATTGATCATTTGGAGCAGGTACTGGATGAAAACTCTAAACTGTGAACTTTCTCTGACAAATACTTAATTAAATTACACTGTAAGTTAAATTTAGGTGATGGTGGTAAAATTGTAAAAATACATGAGATGTGAAGCTAAATAGTTTAAAAAAATGTTATCGTGTCTAAGATTTGTGTAGTACTGTGTGTGTAAAGTGTTCATTGTCTCTCTTGGTTATTTAGTGGCAGTGGTGTCCAGTTCCCTGCCGGACGTGTATGTGGAGAAGCTGCTAGACTTTGTGGCCTCGACCCTGGAGAATTCCAGGCACTTGCAGTTCTACCTCACCTGGGCTCAGAACCTCCTCACCTTACATGGGCAGAAGCTCAAGAACAGGTTTGGAGATCTCACAGTATAATTTTCAGTATATTTCATCATTATCACACTTAAACCTCAAGAGAATAATATCAGATAATAGGATTCAATGAATACTATCAAAACTCAAGCATTATAACTCTATTGAACTGTTTTATTACAAAAACTAGAGGATGTAGTGATACTTTAACTTTCGAGGTAATCAGGTTTTACACACGTATTTGATTGACAGGTCAGGAGCAATACTACCGACTATACAGCAGCTGTTGAAGAGCATCCAGAGACACCATGATGACCTGTCCAAACTGTGAGTCCCTGTCCACTCCATGCCCATCATATAACATACAGATTACAATGTTGATATCTAAATCTCAAATCCCAGTCCATAGTCCAAATATGGAAACTAAGCTACAAAAACAGCCCATTTTGTGTTCGTCATGGTAACAATGTCACAACCACAAGCATATTTACATATGACCATCCATTCAGCCTTCAGCAATAGCGTTATTACTGCATACAGTCTGCAGCAGACCTATTTAGGTGGAAGGTAAAATTATTAAATGCTGTGCTGCCTCAGGCTGCTGGGCAGTAAATGTATCATTACATAGCATACATTTCCAAAGCATCCCAGAAGAACTTAATAGTTTGTTCTGTACATTTTAGCCTGGCATGATAGGATCAGACCATCAGAACAAAGGTCACATTAAAATCATATTAAATCATATTATCATATTAAAAGGTTTTAGGCACTTAGGATTTGTTCAAATGTATGTTCAATTATTTCCAAATCTCTAATCGAAAAAGCCCAGTATTATTTGTAATTATCATCCAAAACCTGGTGCTTTGGTGATGGAATTTAACAACTCCATTGAACGCTAGTGGCATCTAGGAGACATGTGGAACCAAACTTTGTTTTTCTTGCTCACAGGACTTCCTGTCACTTATTTATTGTATTTATGTGTATTTTATTGTAAGGAGATACAGTGTTTAAGAACTGCCAAGATAAATGGTTTAAATTAGTGTGCTTAGGTGCACATTACTGTACACCTGTCTTAAAGGCACAGTACTAAAACGATTGATTTATTTCTAAGGGTTTTTTGGCCCTGTAAAATTAATTGCTGTTTTAGTGATAAAAAAAAAAAATCTTTTCCCAACAACATATATAAATGTTCCATCTGTTCCTATTTCAGTTTTTGTAACACAATCGAAGCCTGAGACAAAATATCAGTTATATTTTAACTTTTTAGGCCAGTGGACAGCTCTCACAACACTGTCCTATTAATCTTTAGGTAGCAGACATGCTTTCATACCGAACTGCTTGGTAGATAAGGACTTCCCTTCAGTTTTAAGGGGGCTTGTGATTCAAGTAGTGACACTGGAGGACACACACACTCACTGCATTTACTTAGGACAGTTGGAGTATGCTTTATTGTTCATCTTAAGTGCCAAACCACAGACGTTCTTTGACATGAAAAATACAAACAGATGAAACTACCTGTAGCTTCAGCCCAAACAATGGAGCTATGAGACCACAGTGAAAGCAATAAAATAAAAAGTCAGCGTGGAGGAGATATTGATTAGGCAACAGAGATACTCTTAACTGCAAATTCTGCAAAAATTACATATATCACTGCTGTCGGAACAAAACCTCATATCTCCGGTTTTCAGTTTTTGACATAATTTAAAAAATGCCTGTTGCTCTTTACATTGTGTGCAAATTTTATGATGAATGGACAGATCAAATGGAAAAACATCTGGTTCCATTGACACTTACATTAAAATGAAAGTATGTTTTTTCCATCTCCTGTAAAGGTATCATTTTGGAGATGTAAGGTTTTGTTCCAACAACTAAGAAACTATACATTTTCCATCATTTGATATATATATATATATATATATATATATATATATATATATATATATATATATATATATATATATGATGTATATATGATGTATATAAACAAGAATATATGATGTATATAAACAAGAATTTTGGGGAAAATTTGTGTGGTATTACTTTGTTCAGATAGATAAAATAGAGCCCCATGGATCGAGAAATATCCCTGCCTTCTGTGAATTAGAGGACTTGCATAGCTAAGGTAGCTGGCTATGTTACTTTATTATCTTGTTATTGCTACTCCCTGGATTTAGAAAAACAGATTAATGGACGATGTGCTACAGATGGTTCTATATGGAACTTTTTTGATTGTTTCTATCATTAAGATGTCAAGCTTATAACAATGGAAGAACCTTTTTGGTGCTATATAGACCTGTTTTAGACCTGTTCTATGTAGATCCATCTATAACACATTGTCCATCAATCTGAAGAACTCTTACAATGTGAACCCTTTTATGATTATGATTCTATATACAGCCATTTTCCTTACTAAAGAACCATCTCATGCTTAAATGGTTCTTTGCATGGTGAAATGATTCTTCAGATTGATGGAGAATGTGCTGTATATGGTACTGCAGAGAACCTTTTTTGAAAATGGTTCTATATAGCACCAAAAAGGGTTCTTCTATTGTTATAAACTTGATTTTGTAAAAATAGAGGAATCTTTCTTGGTGCTACACAGAACCACTTTCAAAAAGGTTCTATGTAGAACCATATACAAAAAACCTTGTATGTTCATTTTTGTCATGTTTCACTTTTTTTCAGGATTTGAAAACTTCAATTACCTTCTGCAAGTTACAGTTGAATTTTGTTTAAATTTCATAATGACTGGATCAACAGAAATGGTCTGAAATTACTTTTGAAAAAAATCTTGTTACATTAAATTTGCTGTAAAGTTAACATTTTACAGCTATAATTTTTTTGTTTACTTCCATGTCATTTTAGATCAGTGGTCACCAGCCCTGCTCCTGATGATCTGCCTTCCTGCAGAATTCAGCTCCAGCCCAAATCTAACACAGATGTCCCCATTAATGAAGTGGACTAGTTATCTGGATCAGGGCTGAAAGTGAATTCTTCAGGAAAGCAAATCTCCAAGAGCAGAACTGGTGACCAGTGTTTTTTCGATGGATTGCTATTTGATAAGTCTTCTCACTTCTTGACTTAGCGCTGTTAGTCTGCTGAGAAATATCACTGTTATGTCTAGCATGCGCATGCATTTTGGAGACCTTCGGTCTATTCTTTTTTGAAATTTTGGACGTACTGATACAAACATTAAAAATTTCACACATTATCTTCCACTGCCATTGAATATTGTGGAGTTAACATGCTGAGCTCAATAGCTTGTCATATCTTGTCAGATTTCAAAGCTACAAGATGAAAAACAGCCTTGTAATCAGACACGTCGTTGTCCTCCGGTTCGGGTGATGGAAAGATGTTGAGCTCCTGGATGGTAAAACCCAGGTTGTGGAGCTCAGCTTCAATACTCTCCTGGCTGAGCTGGAGACAGGAGAAGCGTGTTTGGTTAACACAGTAGAAACTCTCTTCTAAAACACCCACCATGACCAGAACTCCAGCAGGCCGCAGCAGTGTGGATAAATTGGCTAGTGCCTTCTTGTACTCCAGCATGTCTTTGCAGGCCGCCTCAAGACACAGGCATGTTATCACACAGTCTGCAGGCTTCAAGGTTTGAGGGTGGAAAGGATTTTCCAATCGGACATCACATTTCAGCACCTGTTTCACCCTCTGCCTCACTTTAGCTTCCACCTCAGACGGGCTGGAGGAAGAGAGTTTCAACAGTCAGAACAGTTCACAATACATGAAACACAGTGAAGCATCTGCAGCACTGTTGACTTGAAACATCTGCCCATTAGCTTCTTAAGCACTGCATGGCAACATATCTTCTGTATTAGGTAGGTTGCTGCTGTGTAGTGAACCATGGATGCTGGTATGCTGGTAATCGAGCATGTTCATGCTGGGTGACTAGCAAAACTGGTGTAAATTCAGTAAATTCAGTTTCCCCTGTTCCCCCTCATTGCGCATGTCGAAAGTCTTCAGTTGCTGAAATAAATAAACTGCATTACACAGCACAGTAATTAGTCTGTGTTATTACTGTTAGACTACTTATCTCAGTGCACCTGGGAAGTTAGTTTCCCTATAGTCTTTGAAGCTGAAGTCTTACTGTTATGGTACTAACGTGACTTATTTTACAGTAACAATAATTTATATTATACCACCTTTACACTGAGAATACAGGGGGAACATCTTTAAGCAGAGCCTGAGAAAAGTGGTTCCCCCTTGTATATTACAGCTGGAGTGGATTTAAAGTACACAATGATGCTGAACAGTGATGCTGATAATCCATATCTGTGCATGATCATTTCACCCAGTAACTTTTATTCATATTATACCTACTTTACACTGAGAATACAGATGGAACAGAATTCTCAGTGTAATAGTCGATTACAGCTGTTAAAGATTTAATGCACTATTATCAATTTATCTTTTTTTAATTTTACTCCACCTGCTTCATTCTGTTAACATTGTTTTTGTGCAGAGAGTAATTGGTTGAACAGATTTACCCAGTGTCCCTAAAAAAGGTAATTTCCAGTAAAAACTGGCGATTAGGATCAGTTTAATATACTATAATGCTTTCTTTGCTTTTTCAGTTCCCCCAGTAACTGCAGTGTGTCCAACATTTTAAACTGTGGTGAATTAAATGGAAAAAAAAGATTATATGTTTTACCATTTTTCTCAAATTGAATGATTACTACAAGCAGGTGTACTACACTGTAATGTTTCTTGATACAGCTATGTTATCTGTTACCATGTTACCATGTTTAATGGACGTAAACAAGTGGGATTGAATTTGCTCAGTGTTCCTGGTAAATGGTTTTCTCTCCCTACACCACAGCAGGACAGGAAAAAGTACTATAATAATCCTATCATTTCCTTATAGTACAACAGGTTATAAAAGTTACTGAGTGAAAAGTTCTTGCACAGATTGTTACTGTTTTTTAAATCCACTCCAGCTGTAATATATAAGGGGGAAACCACTTTTCTCAGGCTCTACTGGTAACCAGCCAATAAGAAAGCACTAGAAACTATCAGGTTTCAGTCGTAATAGTACTAATGGTCTTTTTCAGGTGGACCGTTATCTGGGGTGTGTTTGCAGGTTTTCCTTTCAAACAAACAGGAGCTTGAATCATCTGATTCCACCTGATTCCACCTGATTGGTCTCAGTCAAATTACTGGTCATGTGCGCCTCTACTATGTGGCAGTAAAAGCCTGAAGCGGATAAGCTTGGACAGCCCTGCACTGAGACACAGGGCAGTATGACTCCAACGATCTGGAGTCGGTTCGGGAATCGAGAGTCCAGCGCTGTGACTCGGAGCAATCAAGGAATCGATTCTTTCGGAGATCACCAGTGAAGTCGGTCAGACCGCCAACACAGTATTTCTGAGTCTTAAGACGTTAAAATATGATGTAGATCCTCTGTTAAATCTGAATGTTCAGCGTCTGTCTGAATATTTGAAAACAGAAAAGTGTCTGACCTTTTTTTCTCCTTGTTGCAGACATACTGGATAACGGGCTTCCAGTTGAAACACGCTTCCTCATTCCTTAGCCATTTCTCTAGTTCCTGTCGATTAGCGTCTGCAAAATCTGACAGGACGATCTCCTGGAAATGCTCACAGGCGCTGAGGACGCTGTGGATAGTTGGTCCACTGCCCACGTCAATGAGGGTCTGGCCTTTATATCTGCCTGAAAGACAAACGCTTTTGTCAAACTGTTCACAGACGGTGTTTTATGGGTTGGAGGGTTTGCTGAGAGACCTACCTGCTGAGAAAGTCTTGCTGAGACAGTCTAAAACGAAAGTAAGAAGACGCTTCTCGCCTGAATGTCCCTCTGGACTGGAATAGAAGTTATCGATGTAAGCTCTGGAGTCAAAATGCTCCTGGTAAAACTCCCCCTCAGTGAAACTGACCTCCATTACTCCCAGTCTGTTCCCAAACTCTCTCCAAACAGAGAAGGAGCGCTAACTTTCGATATGAGCCAAGGACGGTTTTGCAAGAGGCTCTCAGGCAACTTTGAACTGTGCTGAAATGTTGGGTTAGCATAACACAGCTGGTTAGCTGGTAGAAAAATGACCAGGTCAAAGTGCATAGATGACTATTCACTTAGAAAACTGCCTGATGATGTGTTTGCATCAATTAATGTACTTTAATACTATATATATATATATATATATATATATATATATATATATATATATATATATATAGCATTAAAGTACATTATATTAATATGTATATGAATGTATATATATATATATATATATAGATAGATAGATAGATAGATAGATAGATAGAGCCTTCAGCAGTTGCCAATTTTGAATAAGGGGCAATACAGGCCAACCAATCTGGACAGAGATTATTCATACATCGGTTTTAAAGGCACAGTAACAAAAACAGCCTTCTTATTTCTAAGGGACAAAAACAAATGGTCATGTAAGAATGAATTATGACTGTTTCTGGTATGTACCACCACACAAACATCATAAGTGGACCTGAGGGATAAAACATAAAATACAAGAAAGATGTAAGACATGGGTCCTTTAAAGTTAAATCAAAACAGATCTTTTTAATGCTATTAGCTGATGTCCCTGGACACATTAAGCATGATTCATCATATTATATAACGTCAGGGGCATCGTGGTGCATTTTCCTTCCATATCGTGCCAGAATTTGATATCAGGGAGAGTCTTCGAGCTAGCCGAGCACTTTTAATCCATGACAGGTGAGGTTGGTGGGAGGGAGAGATGAAACAATAAAATTGGTTTATTAAAAAAAAAATTCTCACCCTCAGATGATGTTTTAGAAGGTGCGAGTACAGAACAGTATGTTGCATTTCTAACACACATTTTACATACATGTACACTATTTGGCTAAAAGTGTGAGGACATGAGCATGTTGGACATCCATTTCAAAACCATGGGCATTAATATGGAGTTGCCCCCCCTTGCATTTTTCTAGGAAGGCTTTCCACCAAATTTTGGAGTGTCTGTAAGAACTGCACAGTCAAAAGAGCATTTGGGAGATCAGACACCGATGTTAGACAAGAAGACCTGGCTTGCAATCGACGTTCTAATTCATCCTAAAGGTGTTCAATAGGGCTGAGCTCAGGCCTCTGTGCAGTCCACCAAACTTTACTGTTAGCACTATGCGTTTTGATAAGTAGTGCTCTCCTCGCATCTGCCAAACCAAGTTTCATCCATCCGACCATCAAATAGTGAAGTGTGATTAATCAATTCAGAGAACACGTTTGCACTGGCGGTCTGCTTTACACCACTCCAGCCATCGCTTAGCATTGTACTTAGTGATCTTAGGCTTGGAAGCAGCTGCTCAGTGATGGAGACCCATTTCATGAAGCTCCTGACACACAGTTCCTGTGCTGATGTTACTTCCAGAGGCAGTTTGTAACTCTCTGGAGTGAATAATGCAACAGAGGATTGATTTTGTTTTATGCGCTTCAGCACTCAACAGCCCACTCTACAAGACCGCATGGTCTACTGTTTTTTTTTTCTATTTCAAAATAATAGCACTTACAGTTGACAGGGGCAGATCTAGCAGGGCAGAAATTACACAGACTGACTTGTGGCAAAGGTGGCATCCTTTGACAGTGCCACATTTAAAGTCACTGAGCTCAGCAGTTCGACCCATTCTACTGACAGTGTTTGCATATGGAGATAACATGGCTACATGGCATGGGATTTCTAACACCTGTTAGCAATGGACACCCATTGCTGAAACACCTGAAGTCAATAATTAGGAGGAATGTCCACATACTTTTGGCCATATAAGGTAAAAGTAATGTTACCCATCCCTGACTATTATAATAACCTGCACAGCGGTAACCTGAAGCTAGGTCATTTTGCAAGTACATGAAAGACAACTTGGTGAATATTAAATATAACTAACGGACAGCAACGTTTTATTATAAAATCATATGAACACATGTCAGAACGTAAATACCAGTTTTTAATGAAGACAGCAAGAAAAATGAATATTAAACACGTAAACAAGTCAAACCTTTTTCTGTGTCCAGAGGTTAGTGATAATTGACCGATTTGTCATGCAACATACATTCATACCAACATAACCAGAGGTGAGGATAGACTTGCTATGCAAGTATCAATAATACTGGCCACTGCTATGCTTTATAACAGTGTATGGGTCAGTTCAAGTAAGGTAGAAAAAAATAAATAAAAATACAAATTCAAAGTTGAAAAATCAGCTCAGATCACACATACCTCCAAAATGTTCCTTTGCAAATCTACAGTAAACTACAAAAATGGACTTCAGTGATAGTACAATCTGTTGGCTCTGTGTAAAATGGAGTGCAGCACATCATTTTATCAATTTCTGATTATGATTCTTAAATATTGACATCAAGTTACTTGGCTTTGGACCTTGCCTAATGCTTAAATAAAAAATGAAGAGGAAAAAAAACTGCATGACACCAAACAAAGACAAAAAAAACAAATCTCTCTCCGAGATACGAACCAGCAGGTGGAAAAAAATCATGTAATGACATTGGTACCGTTAAGTTTGTTAAGGTTGTAAATGTCAAAGAGACGAAAAGTTCATTTTACCAGTGCAATTCATCTGTGTGCAGCTGAACGAGTATAATAAGTAACGTATTCATTTTTGCTAGCTAGTGCTATATTAGACACCGTTTATAAGAACCTTATTTCACAGCAGGACTATAGAATGGATAGAATGGCGTACTGAAAACTGACTCAGTGGTGTGAGGATGTCCTAAAACACAGACTGTACATCAGAGATGGCTTCTTATACAGGCATTATATCTGCCTGAAGTACCTCACATTCAACCAGCTCAGCTCAACAGCTGCGTTTCTAAAACAGTCTAATCTATGTTAAAGAATAACAAATGTGATAAGTGATAAGAACAGTTATGTTTAATTGTGGGAATTCTAGTGCCTTGCTGTGGTTCACATAGAAGAAAGAAAAGAAATGAACAATGTTTTTAAAATGGCGGTAAATTCATTTTTACAGGCACTGTAACTCCGTTACTCGTGACCATGTGCAGGCCTATACAGAATGTTTAAAAAAATAATAATAAACAGTGATCTTTACACCAGTTGTTGTACAGAAATGATTTGCTCTTTGGTCAGTTACATTAACTAAAGAGCCTAGAACTAGTGGTGACTCATGAAAACAGCAGATGTAATTATGCAAAAAAAAAAACAACAAAATAAAATACTACTTACAGAGCTAGCAATTTGAAAAAATGAACAAAAAAACAGCAAAAAAGGATGTACAAGAGGCACAAATAGCATGGGACTTACAATATGAGCCTACCAATTAATGCAGCGTGCAGTGTTAAAAGTTGAACCCAAACCTTACTGATGTTTCCCATCTTGTATAATGCTAAACTAAAGCTATCATTAGTAGACTGGTAGAAAACTGTACTTTGTGTCTGCACTTGTTCTTGGCACCTTGTTACAGAAAGTAGATGACATTGACCAAAAATACCAAAACAGTACATTGTCTTTGCTTCCTCTAGCATGGTTTATACATTAAAACAAAAGTATGAGCCATCTTGACAGTTAAAGTGTTGACAGAATCTGGCTCATGACCTGGGAACAGTTTTACTGCTATTTGTATAAATGGTCTTGATTAAGCTGGGGCAGCTGGTCCTAGATCAGTGCAGAAGGGCTTTTTTCTGCCTTATGATCCACAGTGATTTGGGTCAGGTTACTCTAATGGCCCCCTTGTGCACAGTTTTCTCGTTAGCATCACTACACAGCTTTGTCAGTAGGTAAAACTGTTATATAAAATTCTTTAAAAAAAAATCTTTCACAGTCGCCTACAGTGCATACATAAACTACACAACATACCTCATAGTAAAGTGCTCCAAAATCTTGGGCTGTTTCTCAGACAGAGTCATGAAAAATGGCAAATGTAGGGCCCAACCGATAAGAAAATGTTGTGACTGATACCGAAACTAAAATTGCAGTTTTGGTTTCTGTTGATGTTCTCTTATTTTTCCATCAGTTCTCTTCATAGAGGACAGTTATTCTCATGCTAAAGGTTAGGCTGCAATAAAGACGGCTCGTGATGGTTTGGTCACAGTCATGTGAGCAATAATCCATTAAGTCCGCAAAAGTGACCTGACCATTCCCGTCATGTAAGAAGTTCATTTATAATACAAGAAGAAACAGTAATTATCTGTGCTTTATCAGCAGAAACATTGCCAATACTAACAAGTCTGTGGAACCTTAATATCGGCAGACGTTATTAGTCAACTGGGGCGGGCAATATGACCTCAGTCATTACAGTGATAAATTACATCACAATGTTCTTTTCTCAGCATACTGTGGATATCAACAGTACTTAACGGACAACGAACAACTGCATGTTCCATTACAAAGAGGCCATTATCAGGTTTAGTTCGATTTAGTGCAGTGCAGTACATAAAACATTGTGTTAATAGTTTGATTATAGTGTTTTAAATGGGATATTGTAAAGCATGTTATGCACTGTGAAAATGTTATATTTTTTGTGTTATATATTCCTCTACCTCTTCAGCCAGCCAGTGTATCGGTCAGGCCCTACTCTAATGGTTGCCACCTTGAAATGCAAGTGGTGACCAAAGCTGAACCACACCATGAAAACCAAGAAGATTACTACTGTTTTCCTCCAACCAGAAAGCTATTCAGTGAAGACCAAGTGGCACAATAAAAAGCTGATGAAACATCGATGGTCCTGTAGAATTTACAATACAGCCAAAGCACGAATTTACAATGAACAGGGGACCTATGAAGAGAAGAGGATCCACAGCTCTGTCATGCAGGAAGAGAACAACAATGCTTTGCAGGTGCCCAACACTACGATTCCACAATTTGTAACTCTCACAACCTCAAAAGTGCTTAGCTTGCCAGATATTCCTTGGCAAATGAGGTTGGGAGAAAGTGTCTGCTGCTGGAAACTCGTCTGGCAGCTTAGTTGTTACAGCTGGAATGTCCGTGGGGGAACTGCATGCCATTGTGGCCGGACACTGGACCATTGTCTGAGTTGAAGAAGGACGTGCCCAAGACCCCGTCATTTTCTGTTATTCTCCAATACGGAAGAGGCTTCCGGAAATCTACTTGTGGCCTGTTTAAAAAAAAAATTCAAATTTACTTTTCAAATTACCTTAATGTTTTAGGTACTGATCAACAAATAAGCTCATTTTTAGAGCAGCAATTGCAGATATTCAATGGGACACAGACAGAAGAGAAGCACAGTGAAAACAAGGAGAACACTGCTTTAGAAGACGATATAATGATGCTGGGGTGACGTAGTAGAGAACAGAGAGTCATACTGAGGTGGGGCATGACTTTAGAAATCTTGCAAACACTTGAGGAGAAATGCTACTACATAGGTATTGAACCACTAGAACATGCAATTTAAAGATATCTCCATACTTAATCAAGGTACATATCGTCACTGTCAGAGCAAAACCTTGTATCTCCAAAATGGAAACTTTACCGGAGAAGGAATGATCTTAACATTTAATGGAAGTTAATGGGGAAATGATTAATTCCAGGTAATGTTGGACCATTTCTATTGGTCGATTTCTCAGGAAATTTTGATACAATGTAAAGAGTAGATGGTGATTTCAAATTATGTCTAAACATGAAAAAAGACAAAATGGAGATATAAGGTTTTGTTCCAGCAGCAACAATGAAAGAAATTAAATTGAATTACTGAAATAAAAATGTGAAAATTAACACAAACACAATGCAGTTTTGTCTAACAGCAAGGACATATTAATGACAGCTCCATAATTACTGACACCCATGGCAAAAATGGGTAAAGAAACTTTTAAAAATGATTTGACTTTATGTTTTAACTTGACGTTTCAGAGACGGGAGTATAAATATGAGGTGACAGAGAGGCCAAACTCACATCAATATGAGGAGTTTATAAGTATATATGTATACACTCTTGAAAACTCCCATTTCCACCGTTAAGGCCATAATTGAGAAGGAGCAGTAGCGAACCTTCCTGTAAAAGGACGCATGCTCTTCGTCCACTTTTACGTACAGTGAGGAGGACTGTTTGAGGCACAAAAATTTCTCCAAAGGTCAGGGCTGGAAATTTGGAGAACATGGAAGTATTTTGAGGTCACCAAGTCTCCATAACAACAAACTATTCGAAAGGCATGCCAGAAGAAAGTCTTTCCTTTCATTTAACCACAAATGTAAGTGCCTGGAGTTTGCTAGATACTACTGGAAATTCAACTGGAACCAGGTTCTATGGTAAGATGAGGCCCAAAAATAGGGCTTTTTGACAACACTCAAGGTGTGTTTGGCATTAAAAGAAGGATGGCTACACAGAAAGTAACCCCATCCCCAGTTGTAAGTATGGTGGAGGAGGATCTGTGATGCTTTGGGACTGTTTTTTCTCCAAAGGCCATGGGACTCTTGTTGAATACAAGGCATTATGGCTCCAAGAAGTACCAAAAGATTTTAAATGAAAATCTGCCAATAAGATAAAACTGGGTGGTGGTTAAATCTTCCAGCAAGATGCTGATGTCCAATGAAAATCTGCCAATAAGCTAAATTGCTAAATTGGCAGATTTTCATATACATACCTGGGGGAAAAAAAAAAAAAAGATCAAACTCAAAAACATAATGGTTTTTACTTATGGTTTTGGCCTAGTCAGAGTCCAGATTTAAACCTTATAGAGAATAACTGGTCTCCAATTAAACACAAACCCTCTCTTTCAACTGTTTGAAGCCAACAGGGCCGAGTTGAAAAATAATGACTGTTCTTTCTGTAAAATGCTGTCTGCAAATTTAGACATAAAACTTCAACAATTAAAGAAATTAAAGGTAAAAGCTATCCATACTAAGTTACTCTACTTGTTTATTGATTTGTTGTTAAGACTATTAAAAGCTTCATGTTTTGCCATTTTGGGCTTGGCCCACTTTTTTGCCCAGGAGTGTACAAAAAACAATTAACTGACCACATAATTAAGCTTTTGACATGGCCATCCCAGTCAAGTGACCTAAACTCAAAGTACTAAATGGAGAATTATTGCAATACATGGTTTCTGTAGACTAAATGTGTATCAATTAAAGGTTAGACTTTCATATTTTCAGTAGGAGACTTAGCTAGTAAACCCATCTTTACCAAAGGGGGCAATAATTATAAAGCCGACTGTACATTTCAAAGAAATGAATAATGGTCTTAAAAAAGAAATGTCCAGAAACTGAAGATAAACAGAGGTGAAGTTTTTTGTGGCTTTTTTTTTCCTGGTGACAAACTCAAAAGTAAAAGTCACATAGTATGCATTTAAACACAGCCGCCCATACATTCACGCAAGATTTTTTTTTTTCTCAACTTCACACAACACACACTGACCTGCAATGTATTTTGCTCCAATTAACATTAACATGCTACCGAGAATGTAAAAGCCCAGTGGAACACTACTGAAGATACTAGACTCCTCTGTAGAGTGTCCCGAACCAGGTCCATTTCATGCAATATCAAAGAGAAAGAAAAAACAAGGGGAACACATGAGCAACTATCGACATCATAAAGCTACATGGTGTACATGTTCCTGTAAACCAGGGGTGCCCAGTCCTGGAGATCTGCCATCTTGCAGTATGTGGCTGCAACAGACCTGGCTCTAATGTTCAGAGGCCCCTGAAGCCCTTCTTAGACCAGGTGTTTTAAATTAGGGTTGAAGCTAAACTCTGCAAGATGGTAGATCTCACGGATAATTTCCCCTGCCTTCAAATACCCTGCAACAAGATTTCTTACATTTTGGGCATTCTCCACAGTTAAGTTTTTTTTTTTAAGATCTTTTAGTTTTTGTTTTAATTTTTTAAGTACATTCTGACTATTTACTCTCTTTGGGTTCTCTTATTGTCTGGCTGTTAAATCACATGCAGGAAAGAGAAGAAAGGGCACAAACCATTTCCGTTCATGATTGGTTCTGTGGTCTCCCAGTTCATGGCTTTCTGGACAGCCTTCTTCCAGCGAGCGTATCTGAATTCACTCTCTGTTTGGGGAGAAGAGACACTTATTTCTCAACATCATGCAGAAAGAGTCAAAGAGAACTATAGCACAGGTAAAAGATATGAAATAATCATTAGCAACACTTCATAAACACTTCACATTTGTCCGACTGAAAGTGGCACAACCAGTGCGTGCCTTCATATGTTGTGATGTTTCCTGCTGTTGTACTCTACAGTCACTGAAAACACAAATATAATGCTAGCTGGCTAACAACTGCCAAATATATGGTAGACGTGTGAGAATGAACTGAACACATCAGAGCATATTATTTAATTTAATGAAATAATGACGACAGGAACGCCAACTGCCACGCTCCAGTCTAACAGTTTTAAGATCCATTTCATCATTTTATTCTTTCATCCTTTCATTCATTTGATGAGTTTTCTACTTTCACTTGAAATACATGAGTACATTTATGTAACATAACTAAATGTTATTTTTATAATATTATACAGGCTTATATTATACTGTATTAAATGTATATTTAATGCACTTTTACACCAGATTTAGGTCCTTTATGAAGTATTTGGGGAAACTGAGTGTGTAACAACTTCAAATCATCAAAAATGTGTTTTTATTTTGTATTCCTTTCATTTATTTTGTTAGAGGACAGTGTACCAGCACTGAAAACCACTGTTGATAAATTTATCTGGACCTAACCATTCTGTGTAGTGTGCTCCCTATGTATTAACGCATCATGGGAGTATTTATTATATTGTTTCAACTGAAGCATTTTGCCCTTTTCTATGTGTCCATCAGATTTACTTAATCGCAAAACCAAGTCAGTGAAAATAAAAAAAATCAATATTTGAGAGAAACCTGACATTAGATGCATTCACCTTTATTAATATTGCATTGCATCATTCTAAGGACTATGGCTCATTTTGCTGTTCAGAAGCAATTCAGTCAGAATGACTAAGGGTGCCTTACCCTCTGGGTTGATCTGGGGTTCAAATTTCTCTGAGGTGACCTCTGTAAGGTCGTCAGGGCTCAGACTCCAAACACTGACCCCTTCTGCTGCTCCCGCTGCCATAGCTGCTCCTAGAGCAGTGGTCTCTGGCATGGACGGCTTCACTGCACAAATACAAAGAGATTCATAAGTATTGTGGTTCAGTTCCCAATGGTGAAAGTTAGAAGTGACTTCCAAAACCAAAAACGAATCAGAGCCCTAAAAACTGTGTTTTGGGTGCTCTGCTGGGGTAAATTCCAGCCAGGCAAGGTTTACGATGCACCAATACAAACTTCCCTTAATAAATGTGAAAGAGCCACTTTTCTGCTGATCCAAAAAAGAAGAATATTAGTTGGGCTTAGGCTATTTATCATGTCAATGTTATGAGAAAGACAATAATGCTCTAGTTCAGCAGGAATGTACCCCCTGAAAGAGCGGATATTAGAAAGAATGAACAAGGATTTCATATTCCGGTTTTACTTTTAAGGGAAGCTTCATTACATCTCTTACCTACTGGAATGCAGAGTATATCTGCCTGTAGCTGCATGAGGAGCCTGTTAGAGGTCATGCCTCCATCAACCTGCAGCTGATTGAGAGGAATCCCACTGTCCTGATTCATTGCATCCAGGATCTGAACCAAATGAACCATAAGTCAGTAAGCAGTCTTTAATAGGGATTTTAACCATTCTTGCTGTTTGAATGTCTACATAACATTACAATACTTCAATGAGAACAAACTGATGAGATGTGATTAGAATAAAAACCAAAACCACAAAAGGTTTAACATTTATTTATTTATTTGTGTGTGGTTAGTAACCCACACCTGATCAATCGGGTGATTTAGGAATGTATTTTTTGTGATTTAACACTCTACCTGACCTTATATGACCTTAAAAGCACAAATGATTTGATTTGCAAATCTGGCATCTTTTGGTTCAAAATAGCAGCACATGTAGGTCACCAAAAACTTACTCAAAAACTACAATTAGATATTTGTGAACTGATAGCAAGATGAGTTTGAATATCTATTAATATATTTTAATAACCATGGCCTTCTCCAATTCTTACTGCACAAAAACAATAGTGTTTACAGAAAAAAGGTAGCAGTGTTCAAACACACAGCAAATAGCTGATGTTACCTCTCGTGTCTGAAAGCAGACTGCTTCAAGGGCAGCAAAGGCCAAGTGACTCTTGTTCGTGAACTGAGTCAGACCACAGATGATTCTGTTAAGAAAGAGGGAAAGAAAACTCATAATGTCGAAAATTCAAAAAGAAGTGCCTGCAGTGGAGATTTTTATTTTTGTTTCTTTAAATTCACTAATGTGTTTCCAACATACTGGAAAGTACTAGAGCTTGAAATAATTTTTCTAAATCCAAAGGTACCAACTGCTCATGTCTCATGTCTGACTCTCAGACTCTCACTTTCAGGAAAGTAGTTTTGCCCTTTATGTGGCCAAATATATTATTGTTATATGTTCAATAGGTTATATGAAACATGTTCTTTGTGTTGAAGAAAAATTTTAGGAACAAACAGGTGAAGCTAACATCTTACTATATCAGCAGCACACAGCATGAGAAGTACAGTATAAAATGTTTATCCTGACTAAAAACGTTTGAGATGCTGTTCAAAATCATTATATAACAAATACATTTGTTAAAAAGCAGAATTTAAATACATTTTTGGACATCTGATCATTTTGTAAAAGTGCATTATTTTTCATTTTATTTATCTGCACTTAATAATAGCTATTATGGTCACCACACAGTAACCAGCGCTATCTTGTCAGGTTCTGTTCTGCACTTTGGGTGACGACAGGCTGGTATGGGTCCGTTTCGGACAGAATTTTGTTATACTTTGGTCAGTTTTAAATTCAAAACATGATGATGTGGTTTTGGCTGAGTTTTGTAGGGACAGAATTTTGTTGGGCTATGGTCGGGTCTGGACTCAAGACATGATGCTATACGTTGGGTCAGCCTTGAACGGAAAATTCTCAGGCTGTATTCGGCTTCAGACCAAAATTTCAGGCGCAATTAAAGCTTGAGGAGATATATCCCAATATGCATACAAGTGCAACATATTGTTTTGTCCATAGTGTCTTAACCAGAACACCAAACTACTGCTCACTAAGAGTGATAATTCTATTTGGGAATATTTCATATGGGTAAAAATTTGACTATTTCTTGTTTTTCGAAACTTATCACAGAAAGCCAAAACACTGCATTGTGTCTTTTGCCCCCAATATCAATTCAGACCTTATTCTGACACTTCAAAGTTACTTTCACTCACCCTCTAGCGCTGGGTTCCCAGTAGGGGGCATACAGTCCGGAAAACGCAGGGACAAAGTAGCAACCGTATGACGTGCCAACACCAGCAGCCAGTTTCTCTAGAAGGGGAAAAAAAATAATAAACTACTGATTAACGCAGGTTCTACCACAGACAGCAGAATGTGACCTAGAACTTAAACTGTCTTAGGACAGTTCTTGATTATGGGACAGTGTTGCTCATATAATGCCAGAACATTATAAGGATGCACAGACTAATGTGTACACTGTGTTTACCATGCTGTGTGTCAGTTATGCTAGGGTTAGTAGGCTACTAGATCAGCCAAGGGGCTGTTTTGGCACTTCCTGATTAGGTCTAATTTATCCACTTAAGCACTCACCTAGCTCTGTAGAAGTCTGGATAATCCCAAGGTTATCTTTCAACCAACGCACGACTGCCCCGGCTATGGCAACCGAACCCTGAAGAGAACTAATTATAGGTCAGGGCTTGTGCAAATAAGAAAGAATAAAGACCCGCATCCATGCACGCAGCAGCTTATTCACATCTTATGCATTTCTTGTCAATGCAAGCATTTCCATTCTTTTAACATTTCAAGCAAAGGAACTTTTGGTCTACTGAAATAACTTAATTCAGTTAGAGCAATAATGGCTGAAAGTACAGGGATATAAGAGGACTCTGATACTGAACGAAGTTTCTGTGAAGGTGAGGTCTTCTAAATCTACAGTCTAACTAGTGCCTACAAATAAATAAAAAAAAGGCAAAAACTGATAAGCTACTTAATTCAGCTTTCAGAAAGAATATATATATGTCTAGCCGAGATATATTAAGACATGGAAACAAATATTATTACCTCCAGTGCATAGCAGGCTGGCTTGTCTCGACCCAGTTTGTACGCCACTGTTGTTAACAGGCCATGGTCTGACATCACTGGCTGCAGAAAACAACATGAAGGATACAGAAATTACATATATAAATATATGATAAAACATAATACTGGCAATTAGAGAATTTTCTAGTATTAGCAGTTAATGAGGCATACCTTTGTCCCTGTGTTTCTTAGGAGGAAACAGCCTGTCCCATAACTAAAGACAGAGAAAGGTAGAACATTACATGTACCTTCACCCAAAATGATGTGATGGAGGGACTAGAGCGCTGTACAAATGTCAGAGATCACCTTTCATGTACTTAATTTCCTGTCAAAACAGCCATTTAATACAAGTTACTAAATTTTCAGCTTCAGGGAAAGTATTAAACATATATTTAACTGAGAATTACATAGAAGTCGCAACAATACAATATGATATCAGATTTTTTAGCATTTAGTATGTCCCTTCTTTACCTTCATTAAAGCTTGTATTCTTTCTGGGAGACTTGCTTTCACTTTTTCAAAGAAATCTGCAGGGATATTTTCCTCCAAAGTTCAGTCTTAGAAGTTGGTTGTATTTTCTGCTTCTCACAATCGAAGTAATCCCAAACACATTCAGTGATGTTGAGGTCTGGGCTCTGGTGTTGTCTGTCTATTGTTCTAAGAACACCAGAAGCTTCTTTGATTTGTGTTTTTTAATCTATTTGCTTTTCTCAGTAACAGCTTCTTGACAGCTACACATTCTTTCAGACTCATAGCTTTGAGATGTGTTCTCAGAGTGGACAGATGGACAGAAATTGGATTTTTTCTGATATGAAGCAAGATTTTCTCCTATCTCTCAAAGATGTAAGCTTACTGAAAAGATGAAAGTACAGGATATCTGATGGTGACAGTTCTGGTGGTCTACCAGGCCTTGGATAGTTGTTAGGAGTACCGTATTCAGTTTTAATAATTTTTTTTTTTGACTCCAGTTTTAAAAAAAATTCGTTTTTTACTTACTTTTAACTTTCTTATGGAAGTGGATTATCTTATATCTAATCCCTTTAGAAAAATCTCCTATAAATGAATAATCTGGTCATTTTGACTGGAAATGAAAGAAATGTAGATTTTAGTATATTATTGTATATTGGTACTAGGTGTATGCAATACTGCAAAAATGTAAAAGACATGTATGTCACGACATTCAATCTTTCTGAGGTTTGTTAAAACCTGAAACACAGACAATGCATCAGCAAAACAGCAGTCTTAAATCAACAACAATAAAAATATACACAATAGTGTATCTGACTGTTGTTTAAAGTCTCTTTATACTTGGACTAAATTTCAAAATTTTCTTTAATGCAACTAGAAATATTGATATTGGCAATGTCCTCAGGTAAGCTAACTGTGACATAATTTATCACAACAATGATAACATCATCAAATCTTCCACCCCTAACTGAGACAGTATTCATTAGGGGTAGAAAGGCCAATGCTAATTTGGTTTTTAGGAAGCAAACAGGCTATCTTTAGCTAAAAAAAAAAAACTTCATCAGCATAAAGAAAAATAAATAAGAGCCTTACGTATTTTTGGCCTGGCCATCTTGAAAACACATCTGTCCTACAAGAGCAGCTGATTGGTCCCCCAGACACTGTGCCAAAAACAGTACACAATCACTTTAGTTTCATATTACATTATCAAGCCGTTTAGGCCTGTAATAGAATTTCTGTATGAAAGGACAACAAATGCTCAACTTACCCCTGATATAGGAACACCAGTGAGCGCACCGGATTTCTGTTGGGGAGTCACAAAATACAGTTAGAAAAGAAAATAAACACACTACATTAATCCTACCTACATCAGAGGGACTCAGCCAAGTGAGCTATCCACGCTCCACCCACAAATGCTTTCTTTCACAGCGACTGTTGGACAAGCAGCACAGAATGTTGTCAAAAATCCTACACAGCCTTATGATTCAAGTTTGCAGATCAGATTCAATATATAACGTTGAGTTTCTAGTTTGAAATGCTACCTTATGTTGTGGTAGCCAAGCAGAACTGGGCGCAATGGATTTGCGACTATGTTAACATTAGCCTGAAAAACTGAATTTGAAATTAACCGCATACCCCAAATTTCCAACAAGAGTTGTGTGCTACACATCCTACATTTTTGCCAATATTCTGTAAAGCTTGTCCAGCCTAACAAAAATTGCTAAGAACTAATCAATTTGTGGGCTGAGCAAGAATTGAGTGATAGTTACTGAAACACTTTTGATGATTTTATACTGTCGTCCAATGAAGTAACCTAAAACAAATAATATGCCACAGAGGTTATTGTTGGATGTCTTTGGTTGACTGCGTATAAAAAATGTCTGAAAACATGTACACCAAAATGAACATGCTACAGTGAGTGATGAAACATTACTACAGTCTACAGTTAAGAAGTACTTCACAAGAACTGAGAGAGCCATTCGGATTGGTTGAAGCATGCCACGTGAATGTTTGAAAAAGAAGTGAGCATGCAAAGGAGACGGGGTGAGAACCACAGCACGGCCCTTGGGACAGAAAGTGCCTTCAAGTAAGCGGAAAAGCCGCAAGTGCCGCGTCTAGTGGTGAAGTCAATAATTGTTGTGTCAAGGCAATACACTGTGTAAGAATAACACAAGTACAAAGCCATCTAGTACATTTCCAACAAGAGCTACAATGTCAGGACTATACAATGGTGAGACTGTTGATGTTCACAGTTGTCAAAAGTCACAACGGATGACTAAAATGGATTTACCTAGTTTTCAAATTGGAAATGCACTGCTAGATGGAGTGATATCATAGAGACATCAAAGCCAACCAGGGGAGAAAAAAAAAAAAGACTAGAATTCTCCAGAGGTGACAGCAGTAAAAAGGGTACAGTCAAGGCCTACTCACCAGACTAGAACTGATTTTCTATCAGTGAGCCCAAAAAGACAATAACACACAAAGTTTTGACTGTGATAAGAAAGGACCTTAGACAGGACACATCATTGCTCCAAAAACCAAATCCAATCAGGCAGAAGGTTTTAGATTTTAGACATCTAAAACTTAACAGTGGGATTTCAAAATGAAAAGTCTCTCTTAATCTGTAACACGCAGTGCAGCATTCGTTTTGCTCTTCCAGTCTTCCATTCGTTTCATACAGATTATGCGGCATAGAAAACCCAGTGACATGTTATTTCTCAGAAAAAAAAGGCTGGACTTACCATTAAACCGTAGATCTCTGAAGAACTCCTCACTTTTGGAAGAATCTCCATTGGTATATCAAAATAGCTTACAAAAAAAAAACAAAAGCACACACATCACAAACAATACAGAACTTTATGATTTTAACCCCTTAAACTTTAAGGGTCTGTATGTGGACCCACACTTCAATTCATCACCCTCATAACTTACACATTAGTTTCACATTAGCTACCAGAGATGTTCATAAGGCACTTTATCCAAGTTTGAGTCAAGCCTTCAGTGAACTGTAGTTAAGTCTCAGCACTGCACATACAATCTGCTTAAATATTTACTGGTTCTTGATTCCTTTCATTTTGAGTTGAAGATGTTGAATTGGAATGGACTCAGTCTGGTTTACTGGAACACAGCCCTCTGATACCTAACTCCACCCCTCCGCACTCTCTTAGAGAGCAAACAAAGCACATGTACAGCCCACCTGTTTGTGTTCTCTCGTCATTTTCAGAGGTAGATTCCTGATTACTAACGCTTAATGCTGTATATTGTGTCTCTAACTGACTGTGAGAAAAACAGGAATGGAACGCATCTCTCTTTCTCTGTCTATGCATCAGTAAGCAGATAACGAGAGCTGACCAGTAGAAAGTAACCACTTGTTTCTGTTGGAAAAGGATACTTCTAGAACATTCCCTGAATATCTTAGTGAAATACTGCATGCGCTCTTATTCACACACAAACAAATGCGATACAAAAAGTCTAGTGTTTAGATTACTGTTCAGATGCTACATGACCTTGTGTTGTAATCCATCATATGCTTTGTTATTATGTTGTAACTGATCAGAAAGGAGAAGCACTCAACTGTACTGACTTGTTTGGTGTTTTGTCATCACGATTTTCCTATCAGGCTTGCCATAACATCAAACTTTAGGTCACTCAATATTTCTTGGTGTGTTTAAACTGTATTATAAAATTCAAATTCAAATACATTAAATTGTCTGGACAGTTTCCTTTAAACGCTGCATTTACTGCACATAGCACTTTAAGTACATCCATCAGATTGAAGACTTTTGTAAAAGCAAACTTGGGTAGGACAACAGTGTAACGCTTAGTTCACATACTTTCGCACCACTTTACTTTAGCACACGATCATTTCCCCACTCACCGCCATATCAAGTTTACTCATTCAACATATAGATCGGCTATGAAGAAAGCAATACAATCATACATTCTTGAGAAGAATTCCTTTAATGAAAAGACATTTACATTTATGATCTGTTCCTCTTATTACGGTTACGGGTTTGGCTGCAATAGTAATTCTGAATACTGCACTCTGAAAAGACACAATAAACAATCTACGCGGACAATATAGGGGTATAGGGATAAAAGGGATAAAAATATTTACTGTGGCTATCGATTTGCAGATTCTTGAAATGACTGACATTACATTGTCATCCTCGCTTGGTATTTGAGGGATTAAATTTGAGGGAAGGCTAGGCGCTGCTGCCTCTCGGTGTTAGGCTTTAGTGTTACAAGTGAACTCACAGGCGTCGCCAGGTTTTTGCATCGCTTAGAGTGACAAATGATACCAGCGTACTTTGAACTCAAAATGCGAACCTCCTACACAAAGTGCATACAGGTTGGCAGGTCTGAAAAAGGGTTGTTATTTGAAGTCATACAGACTCCGACATCGTAAGGGAATGGCACTGTAGTATATGATCCCACATGACGGTCGTAAAATTGACAGGCAAAGATGTAAACTAAAGATTGTATTAATTTACTGCGTTAATTTAACCTTCTTTCCCCTCCCAGGGTTAAATTTCACAGTCTTCAATACACAGTCTGAGTCAAGTAGTACAATTATTTTGGATGTAACACGACCATGATTCGACTAAGTGTTTAGACCTTACTTGCAGAGATCTGGATCCCAATCCATAGTGTGAATATTGAAGAGCATCGTTCTGCTAGCATTGGTCACATCTGTACAATGGACACCTCCCTTCTTTCCCCCAGTCAGGCACTGAAAAAGAAAGAACACAAAATATAAGCGAAAGATCAGTATGTTGAGGATGCATCACCGCTCCTTAAATTATCAGTGTACGTTGATTTTTTTAATCAGTATTGCAGTATTGGCCTCTTGTTTTAAGCTACATGTTCCTGTTTCCAGTTTTGTGCATAAAAGATTGCAGATTTAAACTTCCTTCCTTAGAAATGAAGAGTTTGAGAATGAACTTCAAGTTAGTTTCACAAATCCAGCTAATAATGTTTCAAATGTTAAAGCAGTTGCAGAACAATGCTTATTGTTTTTGATAACTTAATTGGGTTTATTTGGTATAATAATATAATAATAGTATAGTATGAGTATATAGTTATATATGGTTTATATAGTAATTCCAGGTTCCAGTTGCTATGGTTTTGCTATGAAGTTGCTATGGTATTTCAGCTTGTTGTTAGTGTGTTGCTTGGTAATTGTTAAGGGGATGCTAGGCTGTTGCTATGGTATGCCAGTTTTGTTGCTAAGGTGCTGCGAAGCCACTGCTATGGTAACCCAGGTGCTTGCTAAGGTGTTGCTAGGTCATTGCTATGGTATTCCATGTGGTTGCTAAGGAGTTGCTAGGCTGTTGCTGTGGTATCCCAGGTGGTTGCTAAGGTGCTAGCGAACTTTATAGTGATGTAAGAAGAGTGTCCAAAAACATTTGGACAAGTGTACACTGGCTGCGGTGGAATATGAGGTGAAGCCAGAAGCATTATATATTATATAAGTGGGACTCAATTCTATGAAAACAAAAACGTATTTAAACGAACACTGTAAATCAAACACAATACAATCGAAAACGCACAAGCAACTAGTTTGGGTTTCATGGTTGTAGCTCGAAAGCCATAGGAGGACTAACATCGCAAATCTTTGACTGTAGAACAATAATTCAAAGAAAACGAAGAACAGCAAGTTGTTTTTTTCAAGCCAGTCTTACCCATATAAGCCAAGAGTCAACGGTACCAAACATGGCCCTGTGCGAGAGGACAGCCTTATGCACCTCTTCCACATTGTCCATTAGCCAGCGAAGCTTCACTGCACTGAAATAAGTGCTAATGGGAAGGCCTGTCTTATGCTGTAAAAGAAAACAGAGATAAATACATACAGGACAAAACTGTAGTAATGATTATAATGACATGCACTTCCTATGTAAACATGTTTATAATTCTTATGAAACAGATTTCAGTAGCTATCTGTGGTGATTCAATAGAAGTCAAAGACATACACAGAGAATTAAAAAGCATCAGCCAGCACATGATTGATGTCCAAAGCTTGCTTTGCTGTTGCTAGTTTTGCACAGGACTATGCTTTAAATGATAATAATTCTAAGCTGAGACCAAGTTATAATCGTGCAGGATTGTACTGAAGTATTGTTTAATGTTATGTTACAAATAGATTCATCTGTATAGTGCTTCTGTACTTGACATGGCAGTCTTCTTACCTTCAGGTGGTTTTTGTTCCTGCCTGGGGTTTTGTTAATGAGTCTCTCCACAGTGGACTGTGTACGCAGGTCCAGCCATACTACACAGATAAAGATCAGTATTTGAACTAGACATTATCATTCATTGATTTGGAAACAATGTTTTAAAAAATATGTAGAATAATATACACTGCATTTACTGAGGTTCTGTAGAGCATCGAGAATGAAGTACTAATAAAATTAACATGCAGAAAGCCTCATGTTTATGTTTTAAGCACAAATTACAACAAGCAATCATAACTGTCATATTGCCTCACCAATTGCATTATAAAGTGGCTCGCCCGTTTCCTTGTCCCAGACCAGTGTGGTTTCTCGCTGATTGGTAACACCAATGGCTGAAAAGAATTCCAATATGTTATTCAGGAAATGCTACAATGAGAATCAGATACGGACAAAACATCTTCCCAATAAAAACAGGATAGAAAGCTGCTGGTCGGAATGTCGGAATGTATCTGATATAATGCGGTGGCTTCAGCCTTTCTTTCCCAAATCCTAACATTACAGAGAAACTTTCTTTTATGTTAAATTCAATCAACCAAGAGAAGTTTGGTGGCTGAAGTTTTCTTCTTTTGTTCTGAAAAACTGCAATAGCCATGAGGCTAGGATAGCTATCAAATGAAAACATTAAGAAGCTCATGAAAATGCAAACCAATTACCATTGCACAAGACGCATTCCTAAATCATCACAAGCTTGCCTCAACCTGTTGAGCAATATCGGTTAGAACTTATGTGGTTTCTGACAAACTGTCATTTATAAAACGTGCTTTGTACAATGCTAACTGCTGGGCTATATGCCTCAATTACTTGTTAGAAACATTAGCCTTGTAGATTCAGTAAAAAAAAAAAAGGAAAAAAAAGGAATATTTCAAACAGCAAAAGTCTTGACTGATCAACAGTGGATTATGGGGAACATTGTGTTGCCAAAAACATTCATTAAAGGGAAATTCCATTTTCTAAACTTCTGTGTAACTCAGTGGTTGAGATATTACAAAATCATTCAGAGTAGTTTGATGTGAAATGATTCATTTGCAGAGAAACTTATAGATGCAGATCTCTTTAGAGTGCCGGTGATAGGAACCAGGAATCCCAATGCCTACAATGCAATTATAGCCATTTTATTTACTATTCAAAACCACCAGTTAACTTACATGTATTCTGAGTTTTAATGAAATGTTGGTGATGGTAAAATAATTGTCAATATGAAGTTTTCTTTAGGGACTATTTTGCCTGAGAACGCCCTTTATGTATCTCTCCACCATGAAGGGATTAAAATACGTTGATTAAAATACATTTTAGACCAAAGCTTTATTACAAAACTATTGTAAAACAATGTCTCAGACATCAGGTAATATATTCATAACCATTTCATGTTATAATTAAAAGCGTCAAGCTTAGACATCTGGTTCCTATCTCTACCACTGTGAACAATTCTGACTCGGTAAGTTTCTGTAGAACAAAGCATTTCACACCAAACCACTCTGAATGATTTTGTGGACATGTTAACACCTCTTCTTATTATTATTTAATTAATTATTTTATAACGCAGAAATTTTGAAAAAATCTTTTAACGTTACTGAATATCAGACACTCTGCCAAAGAACTTATACCACCAACAGAGAAAATACATCAAGTAGTGACATTGGAGACCTTTGATATTGGAGATGTCAATGTTGAGTTGAGTCAGTTTCTCGCAGGTTCTGTCCATGCACTCGTATACGGACTGGAGGATCTCTTTTGGGTCTTCTTCCACCCAGCTGAGAAGAAGAAGTAAAATGAAAAGTATGCTCTAGCTTACCTAGCTTACCTTTACATGAGGTCTAAATATAGCATGACTATAAGCACTGTAAATGTTACCATTTCCACAATAAACTGAAATGGCAGCACAGCTCCTCCTGAACAGTAAATACTTTTAAATAAATATTTCATTATAACTACATTAGTCTCATTATGACTACATTAGGAGTGATCAATGAATGAAAGCTAGGCATTATTTCATATGCACGGCGATAACTAACAGCAAATTTTCGTTCACTGTTAACAATATTTCTTTATTTCCTCTTACTTTCTCTTATTGTAAGGACATCTGAATGGACTCACCCCTCTTTAGGAAAACTTTGCTGAATCTCGACTTGATGGTGGCTCAGCAGCTCTGCTGTTTTAGCATTAAACACCTACATAAAAGAAAATTTGGGGAGAGAGGATATTTCATGATTATTTGTTAGTTCAATATGATTTCAACATGATGTATTACTGCAATATGATTCATTATTCAGCCTTAATTAAATGTTCTGTGAACCTCTCAACTGTTCCGTTAAATGTTTTATTATAAAACCCATTCTTCATCAACAACAAGAACAACAACACTGGAAAACAGTCTGACCTTAAACAAACATCATCACTGTCATTTCAAAATCTTATTTGAATTTTTTTTTGTTTTTTTCCTTTGGGAAAAAACCCGACTGCACACTCCTTTTGAAGGTGAGCTGTTACAGTCTTATACGACCCTCTATTTCCTCTGAATTGCTTGAGGAAGGACTATAGGCTGAAACCATCCCCACTCCCACTAGCCCCTAAATCACAGCCCCTCTCTCTTTCCTCAGCCATTACTCTGCTCGCACAGCCTTTATTATCTCCTGAAGCCATTCTCTTGACACAGGCCCAGCCACATTCACATTCAAGAGGTGGGCTAACAAACATGCTTAGACTACATCCAGGAGGGATTTGCTACCTACAAGCTCATCGTAAATCCATGCGCAGGATTAAAATTAGCCCTGTGCAAGTCACGGTCTCCCCAGGAGACACAATCAACCCTTCAACCCACAGACACTATAAATTAGCAGGTTGCTAAGCCAAAACTAACTGCAATTAAAGCCTCCAATATCAGCCACAGCCATTCCACACGCATCAAACTTTCAGTGAGTGGACTTGGTTCAGACGTACAATCCTGGACTAAATCTTAGGTGTTTTAACAGAGTATTTATCACACCTAACTCTTTATAGTGATTGTATACCGAACGGATGGATGTTGGATGTACAGTTTTTGGGGAAAAAGACTCTCTTGCTGTGTTCGGCATCAGTTTGAAGCAGTTTAGGAGGCCCACGCCTCAGCAAAGTTCTATAAATACTATATTACTATAAATGTATTCACCTCCTACACACTTAATTGCTGGTCTGTACTGACCTATTCAACAAGCACAGCGATTATTTTTACCAGATACTGTAGACACCTGCTCATCCATCATCTCCACTGAAATCAAAAGGTATTAACATGGTTTGCCCCCTCTTTGCTGGAGTAACAGACTCTACTCCTATGAAAAAGCTACACTAGATGTCAGAACATTGCTGTGAGGATTTGACAAATTAGCCACAAGAGTATTAGTGGAGGTCACGTACTAATAGTTGGGTGATCAGTACTGGATCACAAACTCCACTCCGAATCATCCTAAAGCTATTTGACGGTGCACCATCACTCCAGAGTACACAATTCCACTGCTCCAAAGCCCAATGGTGGGGGGATTTATACCCCTCCAGCCAACGCTTGACATTAGACATGCTGCTCCAGAGCATGCCATTCTGTTGGCAGTTATTTTCTATTGAGATTATACAAGCTGTATGTGCACAATCAAATGCCTGTGTCAGCAATGGGTGCACCTTAAAGTAGATGGATTCACTAACTATGAATAGTGTCTGGACACTTTTGGACATATCAGGCCTTTTGGATGAATCTGAATGGGCAAGCAGATTACTTAGTATGTTCTTAGCAAAAAAGTTCTATATAGTACCAAAAAGGGTTCTTTGGCTTGTAACAACAGTGGAACCCTTTTGGTTTCAAAAAAGGGTTCTATACAGAACCATCTACAACATTCTCCATCAATCTGAAGAACCCTCTAATGATGCAAAGAGCCCTTTAATCATGCAAAAGGTTCTTTGGGTATTCATGGTTTCACATAGAACCCCTGCCCCTACTAAAGAACCCTTGAAGACCCATCTTTTTTACGAGTGTAGTGAACATGGATTCCAACTGTAACAACTGCATTACTCACTTGCAGAAAAGAGGTTTATCAGCAGGCCGAGGATATTTGAGGCTGGCCAAGTCAATACCACCAATGCCTGAACTAGGTATATCAGTATCAGCAGATAATTGCTTAAAAAACATTATCAACTTAAGACAGATGTTGAGATTTGACAGATATTTTAAACCAGTATTTGATGCCGTAATGTTTGTACTCTGGAAAAGCAGAATGCAATAAAAAGTCAGTATTTTATTAAATGTACTGCACTGTAACACGTCTGAACAGAACTATTGCTCCATAATTTGAACCCAAGATGTTGTCCAAAATTCTACATTGTATAATATGTTTATGTATCAGGATCGGAAGATATGTACAGGAAAAATGTCGGCTATTGGCATCAGCTCACAATGCCTGTATCACAGCATCCCAAACTATAATCAAACTATTAGTAAGCTTTTAGTAGAGAAATAACATTATTATAAGGAAGACTAGGCACTTCCCACCAAGCATTAATACGTCTACACTGTACAGAGCAGCTATGAAGAAACTCAAACCTGGATGGAGCTTTTGTTTAAAGCCCCCTCTGGTTTGTTGTGGGTAAAAGTTACTGAGGTGGGAAAGCAGCCCTACTTTAACTGAGCTGAGCATCACTGCCGTACAGTACATACAGGCTTAATGCGACGTTAAAAGGGTCTGAAAGAGAATTAGCTACGTGTTCCAGCAACAAAACAAAGCCTCCTTTCTCATTTGAAGCGTGTGCCATTATGCAACTAGATAAAACGCATTATTCAGCTGAAGCCCCACTTCATTTAATTGCACAGCTCACCAATCGGACTGCACAGGAAAAGAGCTATTGAGACGCATTATCTTCACTAGCTAAGTGGAGCTATCCAAACCAGGGCTCACAAAGACTCACAGACAGCCATACAGACCCACACACAGCCAGAAATACCCATAAATAGTCCCATAAACTGCACGCTGCTCTCATGGGGCTAACTTACTGACTCGCTAGCTAGCGTTAGGTTAGCTAACCTAGCTGACGTTAACCGTTTAATTAAGCTTGCTGGTTTTGAACAAGAGGGAGGCTTTAAGACGTTTATTAAGTGAAAAACACTTTTGTGACTGCGCCGAGATTAGATTAAGATAACTAAATTAATCGAGTTAAAACCAACAGTCTCAAAATTCAACATACAGAACCGCCAACTGCCAACGGCTGATGACACGGGCGAGTCTCAAACGACTTCCTGCACCCTATGTAGCGCACAACAAATGTCGAAAATTAAACAGCTTCTGAAATCAATTAGTGCACTATAAGGAGTCAAAGAGAGAGCACATTGGGACGCGACCCGTCACCCCATTGGCTGAGCGTGAGGCGTGCACGCCGGACAAGGACACCAAGGACTCTCCCTCCCTTCTCCAGAGACTCACCAAGAAACGCGTGGAGCTTGTGCCTTGGTCGATAGCGGCTACGAGGGGGCCCAGCATGATCCTGTTGGAGGACGCGGCCATGGTGCCGTTCATTGGAGACGAGGTCCAGCAGCGCCGTGAAACCGTCCGAGGCACCGCCGCCGTCGCCCACGACTCAGACACGGTACCGGCTCACACACTGCGCATGCGCTCGTGACGTGGAGCCCAGCCTATGGAGTGGGAGGGGTTATGCAAATCAGCAATGATTCGGCTCGAAACTTTGAACTGGACAATTCAGTGATTCATTTATTCACGATTCACTATAAGTAAAATCTTTCATTCTATCTGAGAATCGGTTCAGTGAATCTAATGTCGCTTCTGCTTACACCGTTTTTCGATTCGATACCAAATTACACCAAGGCTAAAAGCCTTCATGTGCAGGTAAAAGGAATTTTTTCATGTGCAGGTTTTTTCCTCTAAATTTCCCTAAACTTTTGTGTCAGCAGGATTTACACTGTTTGGTTTTACGACCTTATAAGAATTATATTTTTATATTATATTATAATTATATTTTTTTAGCTTTTAATTTACTTTGATAAAATGGCAGTATTTTCATTTTTCTGAAAGGCTTCTCATTTTGAAGATTGTAACAAAACGGATCAAGCTATGGTGACAATGGGAAAAAAACAAGACAATGTATGTTATAAATGTATAGTAAGTTAGTGTGCTAAATCTGCAAGATTTGACCATAAGGTGAATCATAGCGAGGCAGGTCATGAAGATGTTTTAAAGATTTAAAAAAACATCTTTATAAATGTTTTTTCTTTACCAATATTTGACTCTTTTCTGCATGATTCAAGTGTAACAGAGTTGACGTGGTTTGTCTTCATGTGTGAAATGTCGTCAGCGTCGTGGTCCCACCCACTAATTTCACCAATCAGGTCATCATGTGGGTGTTTCTATGTATTTGTAAACTATGTATGTTTTATTTATTAAACTGCCAAAGGGACTGAGAATATCCTTAAATGCTGATAACGCTATAACAGCCTCCAGTCTTCTGTGATAACTCTGTACTAGATTCTGGGACACGGCTGCAGGAACTCTGGAACTAAGGGGTGCAGCCCAAACCATGAACAACAGCCCCAGACCATCATTCCTCCTCTACCAAACTTTACAGTTAGCTCTACTGCTTCAGGCAATGAAGTGTGATTCTTCACTGGCACTGCACATAGTGATCTTGAGTGTAGCTGCTCGGCCATGGAAACTTAACTCATGAAGCTCCCAGTGAACATTTCCTAATGAAAAGGCAGGAGATACACTGCACATGCATGCACAATGTGGACACTCAGTGCCTTTTGCATTCAGCTGTGGAAGTATTTGTTTTTTTCTCTTTGGAGACTGAGCCCCTCTAAGGGAAAATCCTGCTGTCTACAAACAGAAAAAAATAAGCAATTTTTTAAAAGGATTTATTAATATGTTACCATAAGGTATTATAGCTAATCATGGTACATATGCTGCAGATTAGCAGCTACTACTGTTAGGTGAGTAGCTTAAACCTATACTCAGGTAAAAGTACTGTTCATTCAATGAAATAATAAGTCAAGTAAAAGCAAATGCAGATATGACAACAACTTGAATAGGAAAATATCAGCTCAAAAAACTTAAGTGAAACCTCTAAGTACATCCAGAATATATCAGCACAGAAGCTGAAGATTAGCAGGCTGCATTGCTCTCTTTTTGGGATCCTATTGGTCGATAAAAGAGCAGAAAGATATTACTCGCCCTCTCCCTAGATGAATTGGAAACTAAATGGTTTCTAGTATAAATAAGAGAATTTCATAGAAACCTGCAAAACTGAAGGTCTAAAAGGTCCCTCAGTTATTATATGGAATGGCTATGAAAACCATTTCTCACCTGAGCTAAGGTTGCAGCCTAAAACACATGCTTTAAAATACAATTATAGTGGAGAGGTACATGCAGAGTGATGTGAGGTAAAATTGTCTTCAAAGAAAATGTATTTTTTCAGATTTACCACACCTTTACCATCATCAGCATTACATATTAAAACTCAGTAGACACATGTGGGCTTACTTAGGGTTTTTGACAAAAGAAATTGCTATATTGTGTTGTAGACATTGTAAAGGGTTCAGACCACTCTGAATGACCTTCTCACAAATTGAAAACAAAGTTATGGAACAAAGCCGTGTTAATGTTGTCCTCTTGGTGGTGCTGTTGGGCTGTAGCTGGTTGTGCTTCCCTCTCGCTGCGCTGTGTTGGTCCAGATGTCGGGGCCTCAGCTGCTGCCACATCTTGTTTACAGAAGGGGCAGGAACACTGACCCAGCATCTGACGCATGCAGCGCACCATCTCCCTGACACTCACTCACCCCTTATGTTCCATTAGAACTACAGGGTAACTGTTTATAATGCTGTAACTTAGATAGACTGTTGTCTTTTAAATGTATCAACAGTTTGTGGTGCAATAAAAATGCTTGCCCTATTTTTTTCCCCCCAAAATACTGTAAAACCATTAAAGGAAAATGCCAGCATTTTTCAACCTAATCTCTATCTGCTACTTTTGTAGTGCGCTACTCATTACCACTCAATTTCTCTCTTTAAAAAAATAAAAACAATACTTAAAACTCACTTATAACAGAAGCCAGTGGGCAGCTGCTGAAATACATAATAGACCTATTTTATTTACCTATTAAAGATGTAATTGTGCAGAACATTTTCATGAATTCCTCAGTTTAAGGTATTTGTAAATAAAGCTGTAAATCTGTATGCTTTCAGAGAAAAATTTATTTTTTTTCATTGAGATGAATTTGTGTTAATTCACTATCAGCGTAGTGGCGTTTTCACAGGCTCCTACCTGATTGTGCATTGATACCAGAAATCCTTAGCGAAAGCAAAAGTAACCGGAACCCCTTTTTTACCGTGTTGCTCCAGTGTTCGAAAGCTTACTAAAACTTCTATAACTTTGATAACAGATTCTCTTATGGCTGGCTCATTTCTGAAACATGAATTGTTAGATGAACAATTCTAGTTTCAAATTTACATTGTGTAGTCACATATTTTTTGAACGTTTAGTCATGAAAATATACGTCTGTCAGTTTCGAGTCAATAGGTTTTCAGTTCTTGTATAACAAAATGGGGAAAAATTTTTGTACATACTAAATAATGATACAATACAAATGCAGCAGAGGTTCTGTTGGGATCTGCTGGAACTTTCCTATAAGTTTATAAACCACATAATAATGAATAAAATCACACTGGAAAATAAATTATATTTGAAAGTTTTCTTAAACATACATGTAGACACACAAAACAAGTCTTTAAACATAGTGTAGAGTTCTACATATGAGGGCCAAAACAAACCACTGGTGCTCTGCTGGAGGCATATTTCCCTTCTGTTGGTGAGGTTGGATATCATTTACAGAATGAAAGTGAAGCAGCACATTTCATTTTTAACATTTAATGTGTTATAACCTAACTGAGTCCATCACTGAAGTCAGGCTTCTTGTCACTGGCTGTCAGAAGTCTTGGCTGTGCCTTCATTTCTTGGTTGGCTAAGCAGCTCCTCAATTCGCTGAAGGTCAACCTCAGCGTCGTGGTCCCGCCCACTAATTTCACCAATCAGGTCATCTGTAAGCTGTAGACGGGCGTTCCTACAAAATATGAAATGTTTTAGGGAAGTAGATCGCTTGCAGATGCAAATACAAGGAATACAAATAAAGTATTATTTGAGTTGGATTAGTTTTACAAGAGGAGGTTCTTCGACATAATTGGATTTGACTGGTCAATTGGTATGGGATAAACTATCAATCTAATTTAGTCAAACTACCACAGAAAACTTGTATTGAAACACAGCTCGAATGCACATGTCAGCTTTACAGCAGATGTGACTGTAACAGGCACACAGCCTTGACTATTATTAAATTTTGATATTATATTACTGTTATAACATTTATTATTATATGCAGTATTCTGTAGTGCGACACTGCATTCCTCATCTTTACCGGTTTGACAGAACCTCCAGCACTGTGACAAAAAAAATCCACACTGCTAGAGTAGCCACTCATATAGCTGTAACTAGCAGTCATGTTAGCGGTTTGGCTTCTTTCAAAATTCACCGCTAGTGGGGCAAACAAAAACCTTACAGCCCCAGTACAGCTGTAGTTTTTGAAAAGTCCTCCCACCTTCAAGATACATCATCAGAAGGGGGTTTTCCTAATCCTTAAACCGGAAAATCTCACTCGTCAGACTACTGTGCCATCACTGTAGGTATGTTTACAACGGATAAAGCAATGGTTGCATTTTTCATTTTGGCTGCAGTGCCCTTTAAGACTTGCTGGGATTATTTTAATGGTATAAGAACGTACCATTCAGCCACCCTCAGCTCGAAAAGTTCTCTCCGTTCTCGCCGTCTCTTGTCTCGCATCGTCTCTCCACCCAGCTTCTGTAGGCCAATGATCAAAGCCCCAGCAGGCACGCTGAAACAACAACACGGTGTCAACTTAAATCCACAAGATTCAGCTTTTACAATACAGACTGTCCATTTAAAGTTTACCTTATTTGGAAAATGTTTGATTTTCATTGTTTTCAATTAGGAAAAAAATATCTGCAAACAGCTGTTTGCTAATACATTGGGAACATTTTGCATAATCAGTCAGCTTCCTGTTCATCAGAGTGGCTTCCTTGTTATGAAGAGGAGGTTCTAAGATTTGACAGTTTTCTATCCACTATTGTGAAAGCATATGTTAAACATATTTTAGGCCAAACGTGGTTTTAAAAGGTTAAAAAGATCTGAGTGCATATGCAAACATACAAAGACATTTCACATAAAAAAGCTATTAAATGCTTTAAAGAAACTTTTTAAGATGTGATGCCATGAAGTCCAGAGACTACATCTCGCTTCGTCACTGTGCACGAGTGCAGAGAACTGGCTACTACTTCTTTTCTGTTGAGCTGATAAAATCCACTGTGTGATTAAATGATGTTCTTTGGAATTTGTTAAAAAGGGATAAAATGGAACTCAGATACTGTTAAAAAAGGGACATAATACAGAAAATATGCTGGGGTTCTGGAGAATAGCTTATATAGGGAAAACACTGCTTTAGGTTTTCACCATAGAAAGTTATATTAGCTGATATTTTGGGTGATCTGAATTTTTAGCT